GAAGTATATGCCATTAAGGCATATATTATAAAGAATCTAGATAGGAACTACAGAAATAGGAATATTTGCATTCTGACAGCCAAGCTGCACTTAAAGCACTTGACAAACACCAGATCAACTCAAAATTTGTCTGGGATCGCCACCAAACCCTCATGGAACTGGCCAAACATAACAGGGTACAACTGATATGGGTGCCGGGGCATGATGGTATTGCTGGAAATGAAGCAGCAGACCAAGTAGCTAAAATTGGAGCTGAACATCCGTTAATAGGACCTGAACCAGCCTGTGGCATCTCTCTTGGAGTTGCCAAACAGGCAATCAGGGACTGGACTAACATAAAACATAAGAAATACTGGGAATCCTTAACTGGACTCAGGCAAGCAAAGAGACTCATATGAGGACCTTCCGCTAAAAGAGCGAAGGAACTGTTGAAGCTCAACAGGAACCAGCTACGATAGGTGGTAGGACTACTTACAGGACACTGTCACCTCAAAGGACACCTGTTCAAACTGGGACTAAGTGATAGTCCCACTTGCGAGAGGTGTCAGATAGAAAATGAAACAGCCACACATGTCCTGTGTGAATGTGAGGCTTTAGCTTATTTAAGACTACGTCACTTGGGTCAGTACTTTAAGCAACCAAGTGACTATTTTGACGCCCCCACGTCCAAGATCCTGCGCTTCATCTGAAGCTTGGGGTTGCTGAGGGAATAATTAAAAAAGGGGAAGCACAATGGACCACTGAGGTCTAGGTGCAAGGGCCGAGAAGGCCTACCCCTCGTACATTCATTCATTCATACACACTTATAACCAATTATGTTGATAATATTCATTCATGGAATAAAAAGAATGATGATCTAAAAACCTCTTCAATGCAGATTTAAAGGAAGATGATTAAGAACTTTAATATCTGATATGTATGCACATTTATTGTATTTTGTTAGGTTAACTGCAGGTAAATATAAATTATTCAGGGCTCTAGTTTTGTATTTGTGAATCTCATTGTTACAATTAAATAAATGTTTATTATTAACTGTGTATAAAAGTAATGAATATATGTACTGAGAGTAGAATGTCATTATTTCCAAATTCTTAAATGTCTCTACAAGACTCTCTTGGTCTAGAATTAGTTATAATTCTAATAACTTTCTTTTGCAGTATAAAAACTTTGTTAACACAAGAAGAGCCACCCCCCAAAAATTATACCATAACTTATGATAGTACATATATGAGCAAAATAAATTAGCTTTAACGTATCTAAAGGGACAATATATTTTATATTTCTCAATTAATTGATAACATAATCAATATTGGTAGAGGATTGACTAAATGTATTATTCTTATTTTATAAAATGTATTACATACATGTTGATCACATAAAATAGACCAATACTCAGGATATGTTATGAAGTACAATGAAAGATTGAAATATAGAGATAAAATGTAAGATGCTGTCTTCAATCATTTTAAATTGCAGATAAGCAAAATATAGAGGGTATGCAAGTGAAATATATTATACTATAGTTCATCATTAACTGAACAAAAAACAAATGCTTACTGCTTGCTTGGCTTATTTTTTTACTATAAAGAAGGAAGCCATGTGTTGCTCTGAAATGTCAGTACACTTCTACCACGTTACAAGTCATGACATCCCAGCAGACAGAATGAGAATTACTTCATAATGACTTCCATGAATTTTGCCAACCATTTTCTTCAGGGTTGCTGGTGCACACCAATCTTTAACCTGACCTCATACAATCCAAACACCAAATTCCACTTGTGCATGCACCTCCTTAAAGTCTACTCAGTGTACTTGCATCCTTCACCTACCCTAATCCAAACCAATCCACTTGACACCCTTATGCATGAATCTCCTTCAAGGTTGTTGATGTGAACACATCCATCACCAAAGCAGGTTAATTAATCTAATTCCTCTAATGAATTGATTCTCCTGCACTTCCATGTTCCTCTTGACTACTAGTGCACCCACATCCTTAACTGCCTCCTCCCCCCAAAAATGTAAAATTGGTCCCTGTGCTTAATTAATTAAGCACTATGCCATGAAGACATGGGGGAGTAGAGGTACAGCTCCACCATTCTTGGCCTTGACACTAGCTGGATGTGAAGGATCACCTACATGACCCAGCTGCTTACACCCCAGGGAAAGAGCCCCCTATGCCCATGGGACAGGAGGTTGGTGGTCCCCAGAGCCAGTCTGGAAGGTATGAAGAAAACAATCTTGTTCTTCACGGGAGCATATAACGTTGGTTGGGTATCACCGGAATCAGATGTTGGTATATACGAATCCTGAAGATCGCTCTAGATGGGCTACCTGAAATAATAACCAAGGGAAATTGCAAATCGTTTCAATAATCGCTTTTAAATTTGCATATATAGACAGTCTGATTTCACATTAAAGTTAAATCTATTCGTAACAGGCGGTACGTTTGAATTTCCCACTGGCATATGAATACCGAGGTTATTGAGTATAGAATTTAGTTGTAATGATGACGTTAGAGTACGCCACGTTCACAAACTTCACAACAATAGTAATCCGTGACAACTTCTGGCCCCCTACGAGTATCAATCAGCTAATTTATTTTTTTTTTAGAAATCTTGACCATCTTGACAATGCTAAGAAAGTTAAACCACTTTTAGGGTAATTGTGAACGATTGTGAAAGTTTGCACTTCGATAGATCGTGATTGTGTTCGTAGTTGTGATCCGAGATGTATTTTTTTTTGTGTGTGCGTAGGAGATAGGGGCGACTATTTATTGCAGTAAGTGGCTTATTATGGTATAATTGTACGAAAGGTGTGAAGAAGGAACACATTCTTGATAAGTAAGTATAAGGTAGAAAATAAATCCAGTAATTCCAGTATGCATACAGTTTTAAAAAATAAAAAACTTGTAACCTAACCAATACCCTTACTCCGACTTAATTTTGAAATGTTTGATGAAAGACGGGGACACACTACGTTTACCGACCTGCAGTTAATAATAATATACCCCACACCGACCTGTACAAATGGTGACCCTTGTATGCCCATCCCTTGTCATCCATGTGCGTTGTAACAAGTTAACAGTTCAATGGATGTATTTATTCAGTTCATTTTTACATTTTCTTGCCAGGATAACATAAGTCAGGTTATGTTACTTTTGGTAACATGTAAAATCACGGTTGAAGTTCATAGCTTGCCATGGGTTACATTAGATTTAGTTGCTCAGATCATGTAGAAACAATGGTTATGATGTTCTGAGAGTGGACTACTTAATCTCCCATCATCCTCCGTGTCCTTGACAGCATATTCATCTGCAGTGAGGTCCACTGACCATCAGATGGCAGACCACTGAAGTAAGCCCCCCTTCCCCCAGATTTTGGGACACAGTCTTTGGAAAATGAAGAATACTACCTCTATCTTCAATGTCTTTCTGTGAGGCTACACAGGGTTACATTCTGCTGTGAGAAATTCAATCTTTGGAAAATGCTTTTACGCCCTGGTTTAGTGTAGCCAGAATTGGACAATTTTTGGATTTGTATGATTGTTTAAGTTTTTCTGGCTGATCATATAGTCTAAATTGGAAACTATTTGCNAAATTCAATTCAATTCAATTTGCATTTCATTGCATGCTACATATTCACAACCCACATATGCCACATGGACTTCTCTGTAACAGTCAGTGTTATTACATTCAGTATTTTTAATAATCTTTTCTCTCCAATTTTTTAATTAATCTAGGTGTAGGTACTCTTTTTGTTTGCAGAGTGCCATAGCAATGAACAATTCCAATTAAGAAATAATTTCATTTTTTCCATTTTAACAGTTATTTTACAAACAGTTTATACACAGAAAGAGAAGTTCTGGGGAGAACAGATCACCTACTTTCCTTTGGTATGACACAGACTGCATAGAAAACGACATGTGTAACAGTTCTTTTATTGAGCTGTTGCCTGTCAATCAGGCCGTTGCTTAGCAATGTTAGGGGGAGATACACATACAGACATAGTATAGGGCTCCACTATTCTGGCTTTCACGAATTATTTAAACGCTGTTGTTGTAACAGTTATATACAAAATAATATGTACAGTAATGAGGTGTGAAATTTGCTGTATTTTTTTTTGACAGGAACCTTTTTGTTTCAGGTTTTATTTGTGTTGCTGTAGTCAAATAAAGTAGCAAGATGGCTCACTATAAGGGAGCAGCGAGTGAGGCTGGACGAGCCATGCATCTCATGAAAAAGAGGGAGAAAGCTCAACAGGAGATAGAATTCCGCAAGAAGAAAATTGAAGAAGATCTGAAAATATCAAACATTGAAAACAAATTTGCAGCACACTATGATGCAGTGGAACAGCAACTAAAGGTAAATATACGGAAGTATATAAATGTTTAACATTATCTATTTGGTTCTGTATGGGTGTGAAACTTGGTCTCTGACTTTAAGGGATGAACATAGACTGATGGTGTTTGAGAACAGGGTGCTGAGGAGAATATTTGGACAGAAGAGGGATGAAGTGACAGAAGGTTGGAGAAAACTGCCTAATAAGGAGCTTCATAACTTGTACTCTTCTCCAAGTATAATTAGAATGATCAAGTCAAGGAGGATGAGGTGGCCAGGCCATGTAGCACGAATGGGGGAGAAAAGGGATGCATATACGATATTGGGGGAAAGCCAGAAGGAAAGAGACCACTGGGAAGACCAAGGCATAGGTGGGTGGACAGTATTAAAACAGATCTTAGAGAGATAGGATGGGATGGGATGGTATGGATTGGATTGATCTGGCTCAGGATAGGCACCATTTGAGTGCTCTTATGAACACGGTAATGAACCTTCAGGTTTCATAAAATGCTGGGAAATTCTTGAGTAGCCGCAGATTTGGCTTCTGAAGAAGGGATCAGCTCCATTAGTAAGTAAACATTGTCTATGGTGTAGCAACATTTGATATGCACAGAATTTCAGGAACTGGATGAATTTCTCTCATGAGATGTAAGGGAAGAAAGGATCTTACTCAGGTGTGCCTGACTGGAAGAACTAGTCTTGATTGCTGGAACAGTAAATTGAAGCTTTCACAATGCCTTAACTTCAGCAGTTCCACTGAAGTCCAGTTTATATTTTGTTTAGGCTTCTCACTTTTAAAATAGTTCAAAGCAGTTTATTGTTCTTCAGGTCTCTCAGTTGTCTACCCAACATTCATGAGCTTTTGGGTCTTTGAGGTGTTATGGTAAATATCGTATATGAAATCGTTTTACTAAGTCTGTAGAAACAGCTGAAAGTTTCGTCCTATTACATTTACTCACCGTCATCATCTCCAGTTAATACTGGAGACATATTGCATATATTACAGAACAATTTATTCATCATTTCTGGGGCTCTCTCAGACTTATTTTTCCTTGTGATTGTTACTTTAAAATCATTTGTGCAGTACTATCCAAGCTCAACTTGTCATCATGTTCTTTCTAATTTGCTTTGTGCCTTAAAAGTTCAGTTCTTCATGGAATTTGTAATTCTTTCGTAATTTCTTCATTGCTTTTATAGTCCCAAAGGGTGTGTCATGCAGTGCTCCTCATGAAATGCGTTTCATCCAATATTAATCTTCATTCATGCTTTGGTACATTCACTAATAAGGAAGTTAAATCAATTTGAAAGTTGTAGATTAAAATATTCCACTTTTTCTGGAAAAGAGAAGGAACACATTATTCTCATTCTTTTCCATATTTCTCCAGGCTTACAACAGAAATGAAGAGTTCTGTCTTCTGGCATGTAACACTGAGTTAACCATTCAAAGACAACTAACATATCAGAGGAATATTGGTTGACTTTCAATGGACTACTTGTTACATCTCAGAAGGTAGAATTCCTCATAACCACTGCTGTGAGAATCTCAAATCCTACTTACCATACAAGTTTGAAATGCAGAGAAATAAAGGTTAAGAAAAAAAGTGAAGCTATCCCTGTAAGAGGCCATGGAGGCCCATAGGGTTGTGAGATGTCAAGGCTGCCACACTTTGTAGCCAGTCGGCTGACAGATGGCGGTGAGGTTGTCAGCCTTACATGCCAACCACCATTTACCCCCCAGGAAGATTCCTGGTACTCATTTCTGTTATAGGCTGAGTTGACCCCAGGCCCATAGTGCGGCTGGAAGGATTAGGGCAGTTGAAAAATTCAGTGACCTCATCGGGAACCTAACCTATGACCTTCCAGTTTGTGGCTTAGTGCCTCAACCAACTACACAACTGTAAAAAGAAACTGCTCTGAGATTTGAGTGCTTGCTCTTTTTTCAGAATTTTAATTTTTATGAACAATAACATTCTTTTGTTCATGTACTGATTCTCAGGTTGTAATTCTGTAGGGAAGTCTTTGTAAAGCATGATGATGAGGCAGATGGACACTTAGGAATTATTATATATAGATGTATGGGGTTCATGTCTCTCGTAAATGATTTTAAGATGTGGTTAATGCACAATGAATGTGCACTGATTGGTTTGTTTCAATATTTAAACATCTATCCCCTTGATATAGTTTGGTGGAGCTTGATGTGGGTCTTTCCTACTTGACTTAATAAGGTAACTGCTTATATTGGTGGAAACTATTGGACCCTCTCCATTGCATTTTTCTGTTACAGAGCTCCACTATTGGGTTGGTAACTCTTGATGAGATGAAAGCAAAACAAGAGAATATTGTAAAGGAAAGGGAAAGAAAGCTTGCCCAAAAGCAGTTGGAGAAAGAGCAAGAAAAACAGAGGCAGCTTGAAGCCAAACAAGCTGAGAAGAACAGACAGAAGCAACAGGTAAAGTCTGTTTATGATTTGAAGCTTCTGTGGTGAATAAATGCCCTGTGATCTTCTTGATCCTGATAATGGAATGTGAGCAAGTCTCTGAAATGTCAGATTTCAACTCAGTTTTGAAGTGGATGGTCACCAGAAAAGATTTTATTCAGGTGAAATTATCTGTTTTTATGACTTGGGAATTGTAATGTTTCACTGCACGTGATATAATATTAAAAAAAAGTTATATTTTAGTTTATGAAGGAGTACTATCTTCTGAGATATAATGTTATATAGTCCATTGGAAGTCAACTAAAATTTCAGAGGAACAGACCTTGCTGCTTGCTTCGTGCTGAAGATGGTCGTGACATGTTCCTCTGAAATGTCTGTTGACTTTTCATGGATGACACAGCGTTANCATCTGACAATACCAACGAAGTTTCTGGAGGCCTTTCGCCTTTATTTTCTTCGCAATATATTTGGGGGTACACATGTCATGCTTCCCCATTATGTTTAGCCGCTCAGCGTGGTTTGACGTGTATGTTTCGTCAAGGGATTTAAATCGTCTGCGGGGGTTCGACGTCTATGTATCATCCAGCTGCACACCTATGTTATAACGCCCATAATAATTGATGGTTTTGCTGTAGATTGTTAGATTTTTCGCTGGCCTGTTGTCAGAAGAACAATATATAATGAAACATGAGTTTAGCTGCGTTAAGTCATCGTTACATATGCCTGTCTTGCAGCAAAATCGTGTTGCTCTTGGAAGATATTTCCTCATTCAAACTGTTATGAATGGTGTGTTTTCTTTCCTATGAAGTTATAAACAGCAGAGACGTGATATGTGCTGTGTTTATAATATCATATTGCCCTGAGCTGGCCACACTAACACACTCAATTAGAATTCTTAGAAGAGGGATGTCCAGAAATTTATTCTTTCAAGATCCATTGATTTCGCACAGTACATAGCAGCCAGTTCTTAGAATAACGTCACGAATTAAGGCAGAACACTGTGGTCACCCCCTGTGACGATACGGGTGTGTGTGTGGGGGGGAAAGAACTCATTCCTTCATGTATTATCGCTCCAGGTGACTCCATTTTATCATACTGACCTTGGTGGTCGGTTTGAGGGATGAGCATAAATATTTTTTTGAGCCAGCTAAGCTCTGCTTTCGTGCACTACATACCAGCCAGTTCTTAGAATAACTTCATGAATTCTGTGGTCACCCCTATGACATCTGCTGCAGCCAAAATGGATGGAATATGAAACGCACAGCACCAACCCCTTGTTATGATAACATAAAGGTTGAATTTACTGCAGCTGATCTGGCAAGCTGAACGACTCACGGAAAGACATTTCCTCATATTCCCCCTTTGGGAAGAAGGCAAGACCGCACAGAAGATGTTTGGTTTATGGAAAAAAGGGCCAAATGAAAGATACGCAGTATTTGTGTGGTGAATGTGAGACAGCGTTGTGTATAGAAGAATGCTTCAATGCGTACCATACTCTGCTCAAATTCTAAACCACCTGCTTCCATTGCCGAGATACTGGGCGCTCATATTATAAGGTAAGGTTATAAAAACCATCTTTTAAGATCATTTTAGTGAATGTTTCATGCTTCAAGACGTACCATACACTGCTCAAATTCTAAACCACCTGCTTCCATTGCCGAGATACCAGGCGCTCATATTATAAGGTAAGGTTATAAAACCACCTTTTAAGATCATTTTAGTGAAAGTTCCATGCTTCAAGGCGTACCATACACTGCTCAAATTCTAAACCACTTGCTTCCATTGCCGAGATACCCGGCGCTCATATTATAAGGTAAGGTTATAAAACCACCTTCTAAGATCATTTTAGTGAAAGTTTCATGTTCCTCTCTCATATAATTTAAGAACGATGAATAAATCATTTTCGAGCAAAATTTAAATGGTCGGCTGAATATATTACCGCCGGAGAGACACGGCAGCGGAATTTAAATGACCGTGCGAAAGGGTTAAAGGGTGTGAGTTTTATAGTGATATGACAGTGATGCAGTGTGTGGTCCCTCATTTCCAACGTTACTACACCCTGTTCATAGAATTAAATCCCTCATGGCAGGTGGAAATCCAGACTTCATGACTAAATTTCTGTATACTGTCGTGTATTTAGGGGTATGACTATAGATGAGATATGAGAAAATGAGAGGAATTGTGTGGAAATGGACAAACTCACTGGAAGGCCTTGAGTATGCTGGTGACATATATTGTTTTTCGCACAAATGTGACCACATGCAATCAAAACAATGATTTGTGTAGAGAGTCAAGGAAGGCTGGATTGATGATTAACTACACCAAGCCAGCAGAAATAAGGGTAAGCAATACGATAGATAGGCCAATAACATTAGAGAATAGAGAAATAAAACAACACATTTCTGCTATTTGGGAAGTACAGTATCTGAAAATGGAGGAGCCACGCTAGATGTTAGCAGAAGAATCCCAAAGGCATTAGGAGCTTTTGGCAAATTGCAAAAAGTCTGGCAATCCACCCTTATGAATAGAGATAAAAAAGATAAAAGTTTTCAATTCTTTTGTTAAATCTGTGCTTTTATACGGCTGTGAGACCTGGCTTGTTACAAATGAACGAAGAAGGAAAATTCAAACATTTATTACCAGATGTCTGAGATATATGTATATTAAGAATTTGGTGGCACAGAACCATTTGAAACATAGATCTCTTAACAGTTATCTGGCCAAACAGATAAAAAGAAGGAGATAAGGAAATGAAAATTTAGATGGATTGGCATACACTGACAAAGGATGATGAACAGCCATCAAAGGTTACACTTCAATAGAATCCTCAAGCAAATAGAGGAAGAGGGAAACCAAGAAACAGTGGAAGGAGATCCACTGTGAGAGAAGCTGGAAGAAGTTGGAGTGAGCTGAAGTATTTAGCGGCAGATTGGGAGAAATGGAAAAAGCTTGTCGACAACTTACGCTCTTGTTGGAACTACAGAATATTATTATTATTACTATATACAGGGTATGGATTGGATATTGGATTCATTGACAGCTTGTACACAATGCTTGGAACTACACTTTACAGATCACTAACACACACAGACTAGTTTCATTAGTCCGTTACAGTCTCCATTAGTTATTTCCTGGCAATGTGTTTAACACAGGAACTGTAACAGTCTAACTGAATTGCACACTCCAAATATCACACACAAAGTCTTTTCACAGCCGCACTCTTGCAACTAACTCTTTTCTTCACAGCCTCCCATAAAGAACTCCACTGAACTGCCAACCCTCGACTAACTGGGTCCCAGGATGGTGGCCATTTCACACCACCCTCCTAGTCTTCTCTTCACAGGTTGACTTTTAACTTAGCTGGCATGGGTTCCTCACTGTATAGCCTCATGGTAGACCCAACAGAAAACACTACCTCCAGCAATCTTTTTGTTGTGGGTGGTTGCCTAGCAGTATAGTGGATATCGTTTCCACGGGAACATGTTTGCTGACCATTCCCAAGTAATGCATGTTCCTTATTGTGATTGCTGCATAGCAGTGGTACTACATGCTGCCATACATTTCTCATCTCTCCCATATCTGCTGCATATCCTGTCCATCTCATCGTTCATGATATGCTCACCAAAATAGTATTTGGAGAAGAAACAAATTACGAAGAATGTTGTTTTTTTGGATGTGATGTCATGCAGGCAGGTAGATGTTTACAGACATTCAAGGGAACGTCTAGCATACTACATGATGTCACCATCCAAGAAGACAGTAATCCTCATTTTGCATAGTACAAGTATTGAAGCTTGTCACTAAGACATTAGTCATTGATAAATTCACACTTAAGACTTCTGAGAGTTAAGGTTGCTGCTGTGATGAATGTTAAGATCGTAGTCTTCTGGGCTCTGATGCCACATAGCAAGTTAGACAGACACCCTGGTGTGGATGCAGGCAACAGGTTGCTCTAAAACATTTGTACTTACCTAACAAACTACAAGTATCCAAAAGAAATGTTACTTTGTTAAGGAGTTTGTCTCATCAGTTGACAGGAATACTAATCATTCTTTGCAGATACAAGCCTTGTCCTTCACACTGGATGATGAGGAAGTTGAAGAAGAAATTGAAACATTCAACACCATTGACACCGATGCTGAAAGATGTGAGCCGCCTGTTAAAAAGAAGATACGAAAAAATCCTGATGTAGATACAAGCTTCCTTCCTGACCGAGAGAGGGAAGATGAGGAAAACAGACTTCGAGAGGAATACAGACAAGTACATGGGTTTCTTATGGCAGTCAGTACTAGATTACATAGAGTCAGTGGTAGGATGAGAGATTATGAATTTGAAGGGCTTTGGAAAGAAGTGGTTATGGCCTAATCAAAGTACTATTCCAGCATTTGCCTGAGGGAACTGAGGAAAACCACGAAAAAACTCAATAACGATAGTGGGGTCCCTAGCAGGATTTGAACAGAGCACCTCATGAGTGCAAGTCAGTAGTGAAGTGTGTGGTCTAGTGCCTAAAACTCATTCTTTCGAAGGCTATGAGTAGAGTCCTTTGTGTGTTAACTAAGGCAGGTGAAAAAGTGCAGTCACACTAAGAACGAACCTGATGTCAAGACACTTGCTAACCCTAATATTACCATTTGCAAGAAGACTAGATCTTTTGTAATTCGTACTTCTGTTATTTTTTTATTATCCTTTGAGAGAAGTACAGTCTAATTGTGTGTTGTTACTTTTCATTAATCACTGTTGCTGTTTCCCATACCCATCATATTCTTACTTTTTATTGAGTTTACTGTACATTGGTTAATAGGTGCTTTTGTGTTCAGGAGTGGGCCGATAAACAATCTTCATTAAAAGAAGAGGAAATTGATATTACATTCAGTTACTGGGATGGCTCAGGTCACAGACGGACTGTAAGAATGAAGAAAGGTAATTGGAAGCCTTTGTTTGGTGGCAAATGTATTAATTTGTGCTAATTAACTGGCAGAACCCTTAGAGAAAGACAGTACTACATATGTTGCTAATTAATGTCAACTTTGTGAGTGAAAGGATGTCTGCTGTCTGAAGACTGAAAAAGTAATACAGGTTTCATCATTTCTCTGACGTACCAGTTTTGAAATAATTCTTTCTTTCAAAGAGAGTGTGAAGAAAAACACAAAACAAAATGTGAATTATATTTATTGTCTGTTTACAGTATCTTTGAAGATGCATCATCATCTAATAGTGATCTACAATAGATCATTATAGCATCATTAGAAAGCTGCTACATACTGTTTTCAACATATCATAAGAATCAAAATTGTACAGGATGTCTTGTTGAACACACAGGACTTTTATTTTGTAAGGTTGCCTACTCAGGGTGTGATGTACCCTTAGAGATGTTGTAGACGGACAATGCCTAAATAATAAGTAAACATTTTGCTGACAGGTTTGCTATGATGCTGGAGGTATTTTGAATCTTACATGCCAGTATTATAGCATTTTAATTTTAAATGCCCATAATTCCCAAGGAAATAAATGTTCCTTCTTTAAAGTTTTGCATTAGATCCTGGAAAACACATAAAACTGAATTATTCTCTTTGCATTATCATTATCATCCACAGTGTACAATGTTTATATGTAACAAGAGCGAAACTGCTGGCAACTGACTGTGAATAGTTGCGGCTGTTAACAGGCAGCTCCATGTACCAGTTTCTCCAGAAGTGCCTTGAATTGCTTCGCAAGGAGTTCAGTGAACTGAAAACAGTGACGGCAGATCAGCTTATGTATGTGAAGGAGGACCTCATTCTTCCACATCACAATACATTTTATGATTTTATTGTGTCCAAGGTAAGTATGTAAGGTCTGAGACTTTCACATCAATGATTGTTCATGAATATGGTCTTCTGGGTTCTGACACTGTGTAGTGTTGTAGGCAGGCCCTGGTAGAGATGTGTCATCTCAGGAGGAAGAAGATAGCAGCATTAAAGAGCAATGTTTCAGCCCGTGTTGCATTGTCAGCCTTTGCCAAAAGATATACCTCTAGACCATTATTATGATCATTCCATGAAGCTGTCTTTCCAGAATGTTTCAAGTTCATAGCCTGTATGTTCAGTGAAATAATGATTTCACAGTGTCCCGCTAGGGCTATAATGTATGAGAGTGAGAAAATGGAAGGATTATCTTTGGAAGCTGTAACAAGAAATGGATATTGTCAAATATTCTCTAGCAAATGTGATACATAATATTAATACTAGGACCAAATCTGGATTGCATCAACCATCATCTCATTTGTCAGTTTATCCAAAGTGAATATATGAGTATTATACTGGGATTAAGGTGTTCAATAGTTTGCCTGTTCCATTAAAGGATTTGTCCTGTGATACAAAACAATTTAAATCAGCCTTGATTTTTTTTCAGCTAATTTTATACAGTAGATGAATATTTTAAATACTACATGAATTAAACTTTTTATAATACTGTCTATATNGATTGAGGAGGTAAAGGTAGAAAAGCTAAAGGTATCCCTGTAACAGGCTATGAAGGCCTGTAGAGTTGTGAGACATCGAGGTTCTCACATTTTCTCTAGACAGTTGGCTCACAGATGGCGGTAAGTTCAGCCTTACTCGCCATCCGCCCTTTACCCCCATAAAGTTTCCTGGTACTCATTTCTGTTAGAGGCTGAGTCGACCCCAGGGCCATAGTACAGCTGGAAGGATTAGGTAAATTGAAAAATCTGCNTGGTACTCATTTCTGTTAGAGAATGAGTTGACCCCAGGGCCATAGTGCAGCTGGAAGGATTAGGTAAATTGAAAAATCCATCTCATTGGGACTTGAACCCATGACCATCCAGCTTGTAGCACAGTGCTTCAACCAACTATGCTACCATGTGTCCCCTGTTTATATATTACATTGTGTAAATTAATTTGTTATAATCTGATATAGGTTTATATATTTAAGCTATGAGCTCAGTAAAGTATTACTGTCAGGATGATGAGTCCTATATGCTTGTTAAATTACTGAATTATGTATGATTATTTTTTCTTTTATGAATGTAGTTTTAAGGTGACTAGTTCTGTGTTTAGAACTAATGTATGCATATGTGACATGTTCTGTGTCTGATGGCTTTCGTAGCCACTAAGGATTTATGGAATTAAAATGAAGATGCAAATACAAGAATTTCACTAGTGTTTTCTGTTTATCTGATAGTAACTGAAAAATAGAGCTCCAACTTGATAAATACTGATGCCTGTAGCTGTAAAATGTATATGGCAATCGAGTCTGCATCATAGCACAGAGGGTTAATATAAATGTATATATTAATATTAGGCACGAGGAAAGAGTGGTCCTTTGTTCACCTTCGATGTGCATGATGACATTCGCCTCATAAATGATGCATCTGTTGAGAAGGAAGACTCTCATGCAGGCAAGGTTCTTCTGCGTAGCTGGTATGAACGCAACAAGCACATTTTCCCTGCAAGTCGCTGGGAACCATTTGACCCTTCGAAAAGTTACGACAAGTATACAGTGTCAGATCGCAGCAACAAGAAGTGATGAGAATCTTATGTAAGTGTCTTTTGTGTTTCTTTTCAAAGTGTAAATATTCATATTTTAAAACTTGTTCACTTCTAGTCTTAATTTTGTGTTGAGAAGTATGATTTAACATTCACCTGCATAAATAAGATCTAAAGGTGTCATGTTTTTATATCAATACAGTGATTGACTTTTTGGAGATATCCATTGTCACATATGTAATTTGAAAATGTATTTTGTGATACAGTCATACTCAGAATTCACTATACAATGGCAAGGGAGCAGTAGTACTTTTAAATCCTTTCTATGCTGAGTATTTTTTCTGGCCTGCTAATTTAGAATAAGGAAATGTTAAAGGGTGTGCATGTATCTCTGTAACCCAGTCAAACCTAACATAAATTGACCTAATCTAACATATCAAATGACATGTATGTTGAGCACAAGAAGTGTTTATGAAGTTCAGTATGTGATAGTTTATGTCAATTCAAATTTTAATTTGATCAATTATAGATTTAAAGAAAGATAAAAGGAAATTGTGTTTAGGAAGTATAGTTAGACATCTTCTAAAATGCTTTTTGGTCTTTGAGTTTCTGTCAACCATAGGAAAGGCAACACGAAGCATGTTTCATTAGATATTTTGGTAAGTAGAGATTTTTTGCCCAAATGTGACACATAAAGGGATAAGGAGGCCATTACATGGGGCCTCAATATTTGATCACATACATTTTTATTTCATCCAGTCAACATGTATGTCTGTGAATTTGGCACAGATTTATCCTCATAGAAGAAAACACAAAATTTAGGCTAAAATGATGTGTTGTTAGGATGAGATTTTAAAACATTGTTCTTTTTGTGTGTGCATGTACGTGCATTTATGCGATTTAAGACACTAGACTTCTCTGCCAGTCAGTTTTGTGTACAGGACTGACTGGATTCCCTGTGGCCTTTTCATCATGACTGTTCCTTCTCTGACCAGTGTCAAAATGATACCTTGTGAATGTGAGTACACAGTTTCATTGATGGTTCTGAACTTATTTGAAGTTATGTCTCCTTTGCTATCAGTCATCATCAATCTACCACTTGAGGTAGCAGGGTAAACATTTTTTAAGAAAACTTTTAAATTGTTGTAACAAAGTTTATCTATGTTTAAAAATTATTGACATTTTTGCAGCCTGAGATGCTGTCAGCTTGAAACTACACCTGTCATGGAGTTGTGGAAGAAACGTGGGACATATACAGAGCTTTTGCCAAATGTGGAATTTGTATAAATAATTATTAATGTGGCAGAATGTGTTAGATACTCATATAATATAATCACTTTTGAATTGTCATAAACACCATATTGATGTACAAATTTATAGTCTTTGTTTCAGTTTTTAGTCTTGTTATGAATTTGCATTGCAACTATACCTTACTTCATTGGGGATGCCAGTATTGATGGTATGGTTTATAAACTGCTGTCTATTTTAGAATCACTCACTTAGGTGAACATTGACTTCCAAAATTACTGGTGTAATAGAGGTACTATATCAGTTTTTGGTCTGTAGATGTAAGAGGGACTATTTTGTTAACAATTTGAAGGTATGTTTCTTTTCATTACACATAATACATAACATTGGAACAATGTTCTTGTAACATTGCTTTTAACTTTTCACTCATTGACCCATATAAATCAGAATTGATGCCGGAAGGAGGAGGAAGAGAAAGCAATGCATATGACAAAAAACTGAATTTCCCATGTTCATAAAATCATAGTGTCTGGTTATAAGTCCATAGGAAATTAGTGTATTTCCGTATGTTTTCTATTGTTGTGAAAACAGGAATTGTAATACATCATTAATGCAGTTCATGTTAATTACAAGAAAATAAACACTTATTTGCAGTGAAACTTTCGTATTGGATATCTCATTCATTTTTGTAGTTCAGTGTTAGCAATAAAATTTTAAAAACAGTTCATGAATATGAACTAGCCTGTGTACACCCTCTTACCAGTTTTACTCACTGATGGAATCACCAACACATTGATGGGATATCTGTCTTGGTTACGAAAATATATTTCCAACCATAATGTATGTTTTGCTGCAGCATATATGGACTTCCGCCAAGTTGATCAAGAGAAAAAATTTACATAATTTGTTGTCGCACATGGAAGCTCTGAAAGTGTTACAAACACGGTTCAGATCTCAGGTATCGTTTTCCTCTTTTAATTTTGTGACAGTTCATACCAATGTTACTGTGATGTACTCTTCTTAGGTTGTGTGTTCTATATCAATTGAGAATGATGATAGCTGTATTTGTACACATGGTTGGTATATGTAATGTTTCTTCTACAGTCTATAGCATAATATTATTCTAGTTATTAGCTACTTTATTATTATATCTGCAGTCAAAAGAAGAATTTGTTATGAGCTAGCTATTTAAATAGAAGATTGAAAGTAATTTAATTGTACAGATTATAATTTTTATAATTATAGAACATGACCTGGCTTTGTCGTGTGGTTTCTCACTTTATGCCATATCTCTCCAGTTCATACACTTGTAATATCAGAATAAGGAATAATGTTGGTAATTGTAGTGAAACTGCTCAGTCACAGTTTTGCATACTGTAAATTCGGTGTCATGCTACCATACTGTAATGGTGCATGTTCTTGTGAAGGCACCTTGATGAGAGAGTCCAGCCACGGTGCTTGTCATTATCAAGAGTGACATGAGGTATACTGAAAGGGGATAGTTAGATATTCATGTATAGATTAGGGTCTGAGCAGTTAATAAAACTAAATTTCTTTTCCTCAGTGTTGTTAAACTTTTGAGATTGAACTTCTGGAACTTAAGAAATTGCTTATTTTCCTCTTAAGTTACAGATGTCATTGGAATACTCTATCCTCCAACAGTATTTTAAAGCTTCTCAAGTAGATATTAATCAAAATCTCATTTTTATGCAGAAAACAGTATTGGGTGAGAAACATTGTTAATTTTCAACAATCAGTATGTTATTTCAGATGTTTCCATTTTTTAGGAGAGTTGGCACAGACAAATTATGAAGAGAATGATAAAAGATGAGTGAATTGTGTTTTTCCCCTGAGAAGTAGTGGGCCTGGAATGGGGTCCACTCAGCCTTATGATGAAAATTGAGCTATTTCAAGGAAATAGCGGCTCCAGTCTAGAAAACCGAAATTAACGGCCGTGTGGATTCATTGCGCTGACAACCTGACACCCTCTGTCCGCTAAAGTTGGTACTAACTTCGCTGACAAGCGGCAATCACTCGGTCGGTATAGTTCGCTTGCAGACTAGAACCACGGAGTTTGTTTTTTATTTTGAGTCATGTTTTTCCAACCTGTGAAAGCTACTCAGGAACAGGTCTCCCTGTAACAGGCCTTGGAGGCCCATAGGGTTGTGAGATATTGAGGTTCTAACATTTTTCTAGACATTTGGCTCATAAATGGCGGTAAGGTTGTCAGCCTTATGTGCAGGCCGCCCTTTATCCGTAAGAATATTCCTGGTACTCATTTCTGTTAGAGGCTGAGTCAACCCCAGGGCCATAGTGCGTCTGGAAGGATTAGATAAATTGAAAAAATCCACCTCATAGGGATTCAATCCCATGACCTTCCAGCTTGCAGCATAGTGCCTCAACCAACTACGCTACCGCTTACCCCATATGAAATAAATACAGTTTGTACGACGGCAAATCGAAAAGTTTTTGCCCCTATTTTTTTTTCAGCCACAATAATACACATACAGGAAAATCAAAATACAGACAGTGTTCTAAGTACCTTTGACTATTTTTCCACATAGTCACCACCCCATTTCAGGCATTTGTCTCATCGTACCACTAGTTTGGAAATGCCGCTGTTGTAGTATTAGGCCGGTTGAGCACGGAACCACTGCCGGACAGCGGTTTTTGCATCATCGGAAATGAACCTCTGGCCTGCCAGGAACGTCTTCAGTGGATCTTCCTGGATCTCATTTTCACTGGTGATGAGACATGGGGTGTGGAAAACATCCCAGTTCGCCTGTCATGAAGAATTCCGCAGAACGCCATCTATCGGGAAGTTGATGGTCACGGTCTTCTGGGATCGCCAAAGCCCACTCATGCTGGATTTCATGCCACGAAGTGCCACCAACAATGTGGACAGATATTGTGGTACATTCGCATGTCTGTGAGCTGCCATCAGGAAAAAGCACCTGGGGATTCTCGTGGACAATGTGGTTCTGCTCCATGACAACGCCAGGCCTCGTGTGGCAAACAGGACTGCCGCCCGACTGCAGTTATTTGGATGGGAGGTTATGGAGCATGCACCGTATAGTCCAGACCTCGCCCCCAGTGATTACCACGTGTTTGGTCCACTGAAGAAGTTCCTGGCAGGCCAGAAGTTCATTTTTGATGACAATGCAAAAACCACTGTCCGGTGGTGGTTCCGCACTCAACCTGCTGAATTCTACAACAGCAGCATCTCCAAACTAGTGGTGCGATAGGACAAATGCCTGAACCGGGGTGGTGACTATGTGGAGAAATAGTCAAAGGTACCTAGAACACTGCCTGTATTTTGATTTCCCCGTATGTGTATTATTGTGGCTGAAAAAAAATAAGGGCAAAGACTTTTTGATTTGCCCTCGTATATCTGTGATGAAAAGCTACATTCTTGTCCATTTAAAGTTGACGTGTATGATTAAGAATATTACTTCAACTTCTAAATTTAATATGTTATCTGAATTTAAGAATAAATAACAGTGTTGTTAATGGTGGTAAGAAGTGAAAGTAAATATCAAGGATAGTACGAGTAGACACACAAGGATACTGAAAAATTGTCCGGATGTTGATTTTCCAAGTTAATTTGAACCTGGACTATTCAAACATTAAGCCAGCACTCAGATGCTCTTTATGTGATCACATGTACCATCAGGAGGACATGTGAAGAAGAGATAGATCCTTGAACAGTGTTAATTAAATGTGTAACTTGTAAACACAAAAATGAACTTTCCAAAAGCATAGATTTATACAGTGGGATAATGTATTATAAAAGTTAATTAATGGACCAGGATGAACCAAATCAAACTGGAATAATATAGATATATAGTGATTTCATGACCTCTCAGTTGTCCACATCTCTAGACTTTTCTTTTTCACATGATTTGTGCACCCAATTTGTTCTTTTCAGAAGTATTTGAAACATTTCACACAAAGACAGAAGTTCCACATTTATTTCAAAATCATTCAGTTCTGCAGGGATTACTTATGTTTTGCTTTACTTGCTGTATTTAATTAATTGGTCACATAATAGTAGATCACTTTTATTTATTATATTCATCCATCGGTATCTTTCTACAAAATTACACAATGGTACATCCAGAAGAGCATAATTTGAACAGTCACTGCCTAAATAACTCCATATCTCATATTCTTATATGCAACACAGAATAATAATTCTATATCTGAAGGAGTATCCAAATTAATTAAGTTGTAATACCTGTAAATTAAGGCAAAGATGTATTCTATCATCTAGTTTTGTATGTAGATCTTACACTAATTACATTACAAAAAGTGGCTGGGTGAAATATTATGGATGGATTTCAGATAAACTACAGGAAGATGTATTTCTTGCATATAATTCCTTAAAGCAAATGGAATGTTCATAGAATTTTGATTTTGGAACAAATAGGGAAGAATGAAAGGCTGATGCAAAACATACAAATTAAATTAAAGTGATTGTATTCCATGTGATGTACCCAGTTAGGTAAAGTAAATGGAAATAGTCAGGACAGTTATGATAATAAATAAATAAATAGATGTGTGACTTTTCAGTGTTGTGACAGTACTTATATCATGATTAGACAGTTATGAAAGAATGAACTGCAGGATGTGTGGATTAAGAAAACTATGTATGTATGGAAAATTAGAAAATAGTACTCTTACTGACAGGAAAGTATGAGAATTCGGTAATAAGAAAATGAGACGGTGATAAAATTAATGGCTGAGATTACATTTTAGGATGTACAAGTGGCTGTACAAAAATAAATTTATGTGAGACTGTGTTTTTATGGTGGTGAGGGTTTATATTATGGTCTACGGGGATGGGCACGGTATAATGTATGTGGCCATCAAAGTTTTGGAGCCTTTGAAGGGACATACTGCCCCCAGTAATAAAGTATTCTAAAGGATGATGAGTGATAAGATGGTGTGAGGTTAATCCAAGGTTTAAGCCGAGTTTTAATTTAAAAAGAAGAGTGAAATTTCCCAACCTTTGCGAACAGTAACAAATTTACACGCACGTATCATCTGTGAACAAAAGTAGCGTTTGCCAACATTATACAGTAATCCGTGGTAGCAAAGAAGCAGAGGTGTGTTATCGGTTATCTATGAGTGGAGGTTAGGGTGCGTGGGAAAGTAAATGCCCGTTTAAAAAATGAAAGTAGAGGTGTATAATGAAATCCTGAAAGAAATAAAATCGTTTAGTGGATCAGGACGAAAATATACAAAACATTTACAGGACAAATTTCCCAGGTAGCACACATCTAGATATTTTAAGAAACATTCAATTTTCTAGATAGTAATGAAACCAAATTTCCCCGGGTAAGTAGATGTACGGACTCTTATCTAAGAATACAATACGAAATCGAGAATATTACGTACAAGTATGTCACGCGACATACAGAACGTCTTGGACTGTATTGTATTAACACTCATATTACACAATTCCAGGGTTTTGATCTTCTTGGTCGCCTTTCAAACACAAATTATTCGGGAACCGTTCCTTAAAACATGCCATCGCCAGTCGTTTTGTAAACTTCAGTTAATAATTTGTTGAAGTTGAACAGTATGTCCATATGGCAAACACTCTAACCCGTCTTCAGGAATCAGTATGCCACATATAAAGAGATTTATCCCAATTTATTTAACCAGGCGAGTTGGCTTACGTGGTGACGCTTGACTTTCCTTCGAAAGATACCGGATTCGAATTCCAGCCAGGGCATCGACTGTCCTGAATGAAGGTTGCTGTGGTTTTCCTCATCCCCAGCAGACAAATGCCAAAACACCAAAATAGGACATGACCACTTCTTCCATGCTTTTTACAATTAATTATTCATTGATACTATATAGCCTGAGCTACTGACACTCCTAAAATAATCCATAAAAGTAAAAGTGGTTTATTTGTATGTGGTTTACATAACTTACTCATAGTTATTGGATTTTTATAAAATTTCTCAGTATTATATGGATTCTGAAAGAAGAAATTTCCACAAAGCAAGTCTGCACCATTTATCATTCGTTAGTTCCTTGTGTAATACACTGTCTTACACATCAAAATGAGGTGTGCAGTTAGGATTTTGTTTCAGTTGTTCCCTGCTCAACTTTTCTTTATTTGAGTACGGAATGTAATGTATGTTGTTCTTTAGGTTCACTTTTGACCTCATGAGTTTCGAATTTTTTGATAGTGCATGAAAAACTGTTCCAAAGTGTTTCAGATTTAACTTTGGCAAGCATATATTCTTTAGAATATCAGAGGAAAATGAAAAGGACTCACCAGAAGTTTTATAATATTATAGAAGAACTATATGACAGGTAAATATCAATATCTTCAGGAGGGTGAAATGTAAATGTAGAATTCATGAATCATTAAGATAGTATGCTATTTAAGGAGTGTTGTAGAATTCATAAATAACTCACTATTCAACAGTGTATAAGAGTAGGTTTTTACATTGATGAAGATTCATATTGTGAGATTTGAGATTCTTATGATAGTTTGAAGATCACAGTTATTTGAAATATGATATTTAGTTTTGCTGATAAGTATTATCCTCATACAAAGAGAAGGTGAGGCACGTGGTGGGTGGAACCGGATGACCTTAATTATTTTGTTGTTCAATTAGGGACACTGAACTTAAATCTACCAACATCAATAATAACAGTTGTCCAGTAATTGTGTCAATGTTTTCAGCTTGCATAGTTCACATGGGCAGGCCTTGGTGATTGCCTTGCCTCCTCTTCATTGGAGGGTGGTACCAGTGTTTCAGAGGAATGCATTGTCTTCATCATTAGAGAGGATGGAGGCAGCATATTCCTCAATAACATTGGTACCCATCTACCAAACTGCATGCCATCATATCCTAGAATGTCTTTGTTCATGTTGTGTTCTGTGTTATGACATCATATAGCCACCCACCAGACTGTTTGGTGTCAAAACTCATACAGTAACAATCTGAATGTTCAGTATTGGTTCAGAAGGTACACAATTTATATTTTGACCAGAACACCGACTATTATGATAGAAGGTTTTTATAGTTTTCCTCAGACCCTTCAGGCAAATGCAAGAAAAATACCTTAAATAAGGCCATGACTGCTGCCTTCCTCATCTTTTCCAATTCATTATTCATGAATCATCTTGTCATTTTACCACTATATAATCTGAGTAACTGACAGTGTCGGCAAACTATAAATGACTGGTTCACTTTATGACAGTATAGTTAAAAGAAACCTGGGTGTGTTATACAAGAAACTGAAACTTACATTACTTCTTAAGGTACACTAGTGCCATCGAAGCTGGTGAAGATGTAGGAGTGATGTTACGACTTGCTGAAGAGATTGATTTATCTCCAGCCCTTTTAGCACGAATGATCTTAGAAAAATTTTATGAAAAGCACTCAGAAGAAGGTGCTGAACCTGGTGAGTAATAATTAATGTAAGAATTATTATTTTCTCCTGAATTTTGACATTATGTGGTTCATTTGTTCATTACAGGAAGTTGTATTTTAATATTATAATTTATTTAATCTTTGACTGTTGATGCTGGCTGTTACCTTTGTTACTGCTTTAGAAGAAAGTGTAGCTACTCTGTCAGGTATCTTAGATGGACCATGTACTTGACACTGAGAGAATAAGTGCAGAATCATTACATATATTTGTTGTTTATTTTGAATTATTTATTTTATCTCTGTTAAAATATATGTGATATATTGTACTGCATTCCTTTACTTTCATGACCAAAGATGTTAGTGAAATGGATAGCACTCCTGCTCGATATTTAAGGAGTCCTGGGTTCAAATCTGGGTGCAGAGTCCAGCTCTGCTGACTGAAATTTTCTCCAGTCCCTCAAGGCAAATACTTGGATTGAATCCAGAATTAGACCAAGACCATTCTTACTACATCCTTTTCAGTTGATTATCCACTGATCATCCTGCAGTGTAATGTTGTGTGATCTGCTGACAGCATCATTAAATGAATCATAAATAAACATTCTTGGCTTTTTCTTAGTGAAAATTTATGCACTGGCAGAATTCAGAAATGAATACATAGGTATTCAGTTATGTTTCTTCAACTGAAGATTTTTCCAGGTTTTATTTCAAGTGAAAATTTATGCACTGGCAGAATTCATAAATGAATACATGAAGGTATTATTTCAGTCAAGGAAATTGACAAACCTGAGTTATATAGCAAGAATCCATGTCTTGTAAAAATGTATCTTTATCAGAGTTTGCTAGTAAGACAGTTAAAATAAACAGTATAATATATATGTTCCATATTTTGCATATTTGTTTTCACATTTTCATTGCCTGTTCTATTTATTTTAATAGCTGGACACGAGTCTAGAGCAGAGATGGCCAACCATTAGTATCATTTACAATTTTGGTTGTCACTGGTGATTTGCCTGTATTAATATTTGGTATCACTTGATAAAATTCAACAAGTCATAACTTTTTGTGTAAGATTGTAAGATACATCTTTGTTGTTATGTACTTCTGGTATGTAAACATTATCCAGAGAAAGACTGTTTGTTGCAAGAAAACATTCTTTGTTTTCTTTTTCATACCATTCATTAACAACCATTTTCATTTGTGAAAAAACACAGGATGTCATCTCACAAACAAAATGAGTACCACAATTTGATTGTTACTGGTAAGGCGCACGGGTGTGCATGTGTTTTTTTTTAACACCAGGCAGATGTTTTGCTATCCTTATTCTTGGAATTGCAAGTTGGAGGCATGCAGTTTATATCTTGTTTATTTCAGCTACAAAAAGTTTCCTGACAAAACTAATGAAGGATACAACTCTGATCAAAGATAAGGACCTAGCATATGAAATATATCTGGTAAGTATGCAGTTTTGTGGTATCCATGTGCTTAAATAAGTGTAATGACATGACACATAAAAGGGAAGTATATGGCTGCATGCACACCGTTTATGAAATCCTCAGTGATGACCCCATGTTTTAGCCTTTTAATAAGCAACTGATATTTATCTTTTATTAATTGTATCTGCCTTTTGACCCCAATGTTTAGGAGATCTTCCTCTGCTGAGATTGTCAGCACAGCCTGAATGGTAGACAAGCCTGAATATCCTCAGTAACTGATGCACCTGTGAATGTGCTATCACAGCTACTGCTTCAAGAATGTCTAACCTTATCACTAAATGAAGGTGAACTGTCTGCTTGACAGTCCTGGTGCTTAGCACTAGAATGAGCCCCTGATAACCATTGATAGGAGGCTGGGTGAGCCACACATGGTCTGGATCTTGGGGAGAAGAGAACCATGTCTTTACCCTGCCAGGAACTGAACCATGATTCCTTGGTTCTCTAGCCCATAGTCTAGTTCCTACACTGACTTAATTTTAGATGAGGTTTTGTATACTTTAGTTTTTGAGGAAAGGTGCTTATAAACAATAAGGCTTAGGAATAAATGAGCTTCAGAGATAAAAATAAGCAATAAATGTTTCTGTGGAAATACTAGACAATATTTTCAGTGATTATTCATGCTTATTTTCTTTCAGTGTGTTGTTTATGATGACCAGTATGGAGCAATAACAGATTGTGTTAAACAGTAAGTTATGTTCCACATTGAAAAGTATCCTACATTATGGCATAGTTAGTGTTTCCACATTCACTGAAATCCTGTATTTAGTGAATTTTGATTCAGTAAATCAGCTATGTTTAAAGTTAAGATATTTTCAAACTTCAAGAACTTGTACCTTGATTTAATGTTGTTTAGATTGAAACAATCGATATTCATATTTTCTCTGTCAGAAATCATTAATACATGGCTATAATTTTCGGAATTCCTCTTTGGTCTTCCCAGTTTCCATGGCAGTAGCATGAATTACCTCAACAGGCATCCCCTACTTGATAGTACCTTCTCCTGCAGCATGGGTTAAATGTTTACATGGACTTGGAAATATATAATTGTTATTATGTGGTAATCATGTAATGTGTTTTTATCAGTTCCCTAGGTCAAGAATATGAGTTCCGGCTTCAGAGAATGGTAAAGGACTTGAATATTCCTTTCCGTGATGAGGAACATCTTAGGCGGCATGGTTATGATAAGACACCGGATATAAAATTAGAGATACCATTTGCTGTGGATGGATTTGTAGTCAATTGGATCGAAAGCAAAGCTTTGTTTGGTGATGAAGAAGGCCATAACACATATTTTAAGGACCAGTATCTTAGTTATTGGAACAGGTAAGGGAAAGATAATGTAGAACAAGTATTAAAAGTGAAGAGTTCTGTATTCTGGGATATACTGCTATGTAAAAAGTTGTCCCTGTGCTTAACTAAGTGCTATGCCATGAGGCATATGGGGGAGTGGATATATAGATCCACATTTTCTTGGCCTCAGCACTAGTTGGAGGTGAGTGGTCAGCTTCATGACCCTGCTCCTTTACCACCCAGGGGAAAAGGGGGGGGGCTCCATACCCATTGGCCCATTGGATAGGAGGCTGGGTGGGCCCCAGAGCTGGTGTGGAAAACATGAAGAGAAAATTCTTGACACCACCAGGACTCAAACACCAATCCCTTAGTCATCCAGCCCATAGCCAGTCACTATACTCCTGCGTAGTCTGGCGAAGGTCAACCAATATTTGGGAGGAACATACCACCTCCATCTTCAGGGTCAAAGAGTAAGCGAAGTAGAAACCAGTAGAAGCAGGTGGCAAGTTCTGCTCCACCTGCATCTGCTGGTTTCTTGCTTGGCTTACTCTTTGGCCCTCTGAAATGGCGCCATATCTCAGAAGAGAGAACTCTTCTCATAGTCGCTGCACTTGTATGCTTCCCTTAATTCAAGCAGACAAAATACACATATACAAAAATGCACAATGTGTCTAAACCAAAATCCGAAGAGTGCATTGCCACTCTGCTTAATTAAGCACCATGCCATGAAGACACTGGGGAACAGAGGTTTAGTTTGACATATTCTTAACCTCGGTGCTAGATGGAGGTGACTGGTCAGCCTCATGTCCCAGCCACTTTATTCCTGGACAAAGAGCCCCTAGTACCTACTGGATAAGAGGCTTGGTGGGTCTCAGCAGTTTGGAGACAGTGGAGAAGAACAAAATCTTTGCCCCTGCTAGAAACCAAACCCAAATTCTCTGGTTGTCCAGCCTGTAGCCTATTCACTACACTAACACTACAATGTCAATACAGCTGTGTGAGAAATTTGCATCTCCAGGGGTCACGAGTGTCTTATTTTTTCCCTTTATGGCCAAAAGAAGAAGTCTAGCTAGCAAGCATGTGGGCAGGCAGAAGCCTGACAGTGAGTATGTTACAGTACCAATGTGGGGAGCTCTCAGATGGCACCATACCAAGTCCTGTAAAAATTGATCATTTGCTGTGTAATAGTTGATTGGCATACTTTAATTTGGGGGGTGGATAGAGATCCTTCCATACAGTTTGCTCTAATATGGTTCTGTAGGAGAAATTCTGTTCCTATACACAGATACTTTTACTACATAAAACAAACTTTCCATTTCAGAGGATTATTCTGTTATCAGATGTGATATAATGTAGTCTGGTAGATGTTTACTTTTCAGAGGAACCTGCAGCCTCAGAAGAATGAAGCTGCACACCCCTCTAAAACACCAATAAACATCTTCCAGACTACATGACACCACATCTCAGAAAACAATTTTATCTTCATAGTCACCATTGTGAGAATATTTCTTCCATTTCAGGTTTGGACCAGGGTTAGTGATTTATTGGCTTGGCTTCATTGAAACACTGGAACTTCGCACTGAGAAATGTATCATAATTCGTGAAGACTTCCCTACTAATATAACATTAATGGACCCTACAAGCATAGAACCACATCCTGTTACAGTGTGAGACAAATGTACGTTACATGTTTAATGTTCTTGTTGACAAGGAACGAATATTACCATCTTCTGGGATGTGATGCCATATAGTCTGGTAGAAAGGTACTGACATTTCAAAGGACTCTGCTGCTACCATCTTCAGGGTAGAAGACTGTTCTACCCTATAAATGGAGGAAGCAGGTTCCTCTGAAAGAGTTCTTTCAACCTCTCAGTTTAGGTTCCTCCTTGCCTGATAATGGAAACAGAATGAGTTTCTGAAATGTGGTGTTTTAAGAATAAACCTAGATGACTTATGTCTGCTTGTGTATATACTAAAACAAAATCCACATGATAGCTTTGGTGAAGACTCTGAACACCAAATTTAATTGAAATCTGCTGAGTTGTTTTCAGAGATGAATTGCTGATAGATGAACAGGCAAACATCTACCTGTATAGGGCATATCTGTCAGCTATTTCTAATGCAACACACCAGATTTTTATTTATTGACTTGTAATTGTTTATTGAGTCATGTTACTAGTGCACTGGTCATCAAGTTATTAGGACATGTTTTAACTACTATTTACTCATCTTCAGGTTCTTATATATTATATAGTTTATCATATAAGTTGAGACATTGGTATGTCTTTTTAAATAAATAGTTTTAAAGATAAAATTAATTGTACAATTAAGTTAAAACTGAATTCAGACTGATTTTAAATATCTTTTTATACTATCAAGATCTTGATCACTGATTATGGGACTATATTTATGATGTAAAATCTGCCTATAATGTGTTAGTTACAGTGGAGCCCACATTTAATGTTTAATTCCAGTGATCCAAAATCAATTATCTTAGTGTTAAATTTCCTCCATTTAATATTATATTTTAGCATCCCGTTGCATTGAGGCATTATCCTTATTATCAAAGTATCCGTGAATAATGCAATAATATAAAAGACATTAGGAATATGTTTCACACTAAAAATGTATTTTAATACTTTTTGATGTTGTTAAAATCATTACATGTCAGTAGGACACTAAAAGTATATATTATACATTAAAAGTGATTATTCAGTTTCTAAAATGTCTCTAGTCATGTATTTCCTCTAGTTTATGACATGTTTCGGCCGTATATGGGCCATCATCAGATAATTTTCTTTTCTTTTGGGGATACCGCTGCATTGTACATTTGTTCACCGTGCTTCCATGCAAAAGAAAAAAAAATTACTTGATGATGGCCCATATGCGGCCGAAACATGTCATAATCTAGAAGAAACATATGACTAGAGACATTTTAGAAAATGGATAATCACTTTTAATGTATAAAATATACTTTTAGTGTCCTATTGACATGTAATGATTTTATCAACATAAAAAAGTATTAAAATACATTTTTAGTGTGAAACATATTCCTAATGTCTTTTATATTGTTGCATTACTCACGGATACTTTGATAATAAGGATCATTCCTCCATTTAAGATTTTTCTCAGTTTAATCTTCAAATCTACTGCTCCAAAAAAGTATTAAATGGAGGTTTCACTGTATATATATCTTGTGCAAAGAACATAAAATTGGGGATAATAAAACAGAAATTTATTGCACATATACTTGGCAAGCCATTTAATACCTCAAATTTGGGTATGACTTATTCTGCATTCTTTTCAGTTCAGTATTCCCCAGTCATCCTAACATTCTTAAGATACTGACAGCATCATTAAATAAACTTTAAGCAACTAAAAATAAATCATTTCACATCACATGTTCATGTCTTACAAGATAAGAGAAGGTTATTTGTTTTTAATGCTGCTAATAGGCATATTCCATGTGACAATACTGCATATTCATAATAAACATTGCCTGTCCAATTGTATCTGAAATAAAACAGCTCTTAATGTGAACACTTAAGTGACAAACATAACAAAAAAGTGTGCCAGTCTGATGTAGAACTGGGTCAGAATGGTCCAATAATATGCAAAAAGTACACACTGTGAGGAAGTTGGCCTGAATGCTGCCTTGTTCATAAATACCAAAAGGAGGAGTATGTTTTACACTTGACAGATAGAATGCTTTAAATGAACATAAGGTTATTCTGTTACTGCTGTGTGTATATATATATTTCTGTCATGACACCGGTTGATTCAGTCAGCTGTACCTCCATGCAGCAAGTCTCCTAGGAGGAGGAGCTGATGAAGGCCTCTTAGATAAACGGTCAGTTTTAAATTTGTTGCCATGTGTAAAGTTCTCCTGATATTCAGTCATCCAAATGCTGCCATCATTCACCACACCCTGAAGGAAAAAAACATGACACAATAAGAAATAAATGCACTTATCACATGCTGCTTTCCCACAGTCAGAGAATAATTAATTCTTCCATGTGGTACCACTGATCTGATTTAATATATGGGTGGGGCATGCAGTGTTCACGGGAGAGGGAACAAATGCATATAAAGTTTTCGTAGGAAAACATGAAGAGAGCAACCAGAAGACCTAGGTATAGATGGGATGGTGTGGATTGTATTCAAATCAGCATACAACCAAGCGATGAGCTCTTGCAAACATGGTAATGAACCTGGAATTCCATAAAATACTTGGACATTCTTGACCAGCTGAACTCTGCTCTGTGTGGTTAGTTAGTTTTCCTTAAGAATTGGCCAGATTGTGGTAATTCCATGTTTTGAAATCACTGACTCTTGTATTTTAACTGGACTTGTATTAGTGTGAATTTCCTGTATCAGGAAACTCAAAATCAGTGGTAGCTCATTCATGTGAAGCCAGATTGACACATGGCATTTCAAAATTGAATTAAAACGCCTTATTGAATCCTTCAGTCACGTGCATAAACAGTAGACTGCAAATAAATAGGAATGGAGTACTGTCTTCTGGTATGTGATGCTGTGTAGTGTGGTAGAAATTCAATGACATGCTGGAGAAACATACTGCCTCCATCTTCAGGGTTGTAGAGTAAGCCAAGCAAGAAATCAGCTGTTTGCTACATGGTACATCCTGGTTTCTTACTTTGGCTAGCTCTTTAAACCTTAAGATGGAGGGAGTGTTTTTCTCTCTAACATTGGTTAACTTCTACCAGACTACATGGTGTTAACCTAGATGATAGTACCCTTCTTGGTCACCACTGTGAGAAATTCAATCTAAAATAGCAGCAGATAAATTCAGTTTGACTTTGGTACAATAACATTCACAGATCCAAATTTCTATATGCTGGTGTATGGGAGTTTTTCTTTAAGAAGTTATAATCTACATTAAAATGTAATTTTTTTTATTTGTTTCATTCTGGTCCATCACACTAATACTCATAATATTATGAGAAAGTTAAATATTTCCATCCAGTGTGACTGGTTAAGATTTTTTCTTATTTCAATTATTCATGCCCTTACATGTTTCGGTCTTCAGAGGGACACATTTACATCAATAAAATTAGAAGCCACTATTACAGTACATGTTGTAAAAGTTAGANTGAAGACCGAAACATGTAAGGGCATGAATAACTGAAATAAGAAAAATCTTAACCAGTCACACTGGACGGAAATAATTAACTTTTTCATAATGTAATTATTTGTTAATCATTTGCTGTACAATTTAAAAACAGTGTATTCTGACAGGAGGAGAACCAATTAATTGCACCCTTTCCTATCCTCTGCTGGAAGATTTCAGACATTATAATTATCCTGTACAGGCCCACTGTTGGAAGCTTTATGTGAGCAACCACTGAATTTACTACTACATAATGATCATGTGCTGAATGTTACAGCTTTGCTTTTCACATCCTCTCACATCTCTTCTAGTAGTTCATGCATAGGGACAGATGGCATAAATATTTTTATCCATAAAAGAGGTTATTTTTACTGTCATGAAAATGAATTTGCAGCTGGTAGGAGTGTGGGTGGAAATGAAAAATCAGAAGGGTTAATACCCTAAGCACTTATATGCTAGGAACAGTGATACCCATTTGAATTTGTTACGTTCCACTGTGTTATGTGCAGCATAGAGGTATGCACTCTGCAACTGTCCATAAAACTAACTTACACTTGCTTCAGAACGTGGGGTTAGTTCCTGTCTCCTTCTTTGAGCTTCTTCAGCTAAATATCTTTCTATTTCTGTCTTCCTCCTTTTCAGTGCCAAAAGAGCTGGAGAATACACCTAGACATATCAATAGCCATTAATAACATGTACTGGTATAGTTTATTTATTTATAGATTCTTTATTAAATGACACTGTTAGTAGCTCAGCCCATAAATTGTTGAATGGTGGTGTGACTAATGAACTGGTAAGGATGTGGAAGAAAATGATCATGACTTAACATAATGAACGTAGTAAGGTATTATTTACATTTCATGCTCCACAAGGAGGTGAGTTAGAATACCTCCACTGCAGCCCTTCAAGTTGTAGAAGGCAACAAAAAGGGAAGCTGGTGCTTGGGGGTGTTACAGGGGGACATAAAGACAGGGACCTGGTCCTCCAGGTTAGGGGTTGGATGTAAGGCTGACAACCTTGCTTTGTAAAAAAATGTATTGTTGGGAAATCCAAAGAAGTGAAAACTTCTGAGGAAGGCTATGGTTTGAAAAGAGCTGTTTTGCTGATCTGGCCCTACCATCACTACACTCAACTCTCGATTATCCAGGATAATGGTGGGGATGGAAGTCATGATTAATTGAAAATCCGGTTAAGACAAATTTTATTAAAAGTAGTACTGTAATACTGTACCTTCATAATACTATAGGTCTACCTGTATTTAAATTTATTCAACCTCATTTTTATGTCATCTCATGGCCTATTTAATACTTTGTTACATTACACTGAAGTATGAATTAGTTATTTCCATCACAGTGTTCAACAACATCCAACACTTTTTACGAATATTCACACTTAACACTTACTAGCAGCGCTGTCCACCTCTTCCTCATTCTCACTTTCTTCCTGCTCTTCTGGCTGCACCCCCACTGAACTTACGATTGTGTCACTGCTTAACATTTCGAAGCCCGCTCACATGAGTTTCTGCTGAATACTTAAGACAACACGCTTCCTTTTACACCCTGACATTTTGCTAACGCACTTGAAGATCGATACAAAGAGACTAGCTGGGGTGGTGTATCTGTCCTTTAAACTTTCCACAAATCCTTGCATTCTTTCACCCCTACCCTAGAACATTGTTAGCATAATGGGACCAAAATGCAGAGCTCGGTTCACACTAGTGCGAAAATAGTGTTACAACACACCATGTGAAACAAAAGTGAATGAATATTAAACAACATATAAGCCTCAAAAAAACCTTGGTAGCCCTGGTTAAGCCGCAAACCGGTTTATCCACTCCCGGATAATTGAGAGTTGAGTGTATCTACATATGTAAAAGATAATTGCAGGTATACATGGAAGGAATACGAAATGTAATCGTCATTTCATATTCCTTCCATGTATACCTGCAATTATATCTTACATATGTAGATAGTGATGGTAGGGCCGGGATAGTGCAGTTGGTATAGTGACTAGCTACAGGCTGGCTGACCAAGGGGGTGGAGTTTGAATCCCAGTGGGTGAAAGAATTTTCACTTCTCCATGTCGTCCAGACTGGCTCTGGGGCCTGCCCAGCCTCCTATCCAATGGGTACTGGGAGGGGGCTCTTTTCCCTGGACTAAAGCAGCAGGGGCATGAAGCTTACCACTCACCTCCAACTAGAGCCGAGGTCAAGAAAACACAGGTCTATACAACCACTCCCCCATAAGTCTTCATGGCAGTGTTTAATTAGTTAATCACGGATAACTTCACCTTTATGTAGACTATGGTGTTGGCAGTATTATCTGTGCACTTTCCTGGAGGGACTGAGGAAAACCACGAAAACCTGTCAGGCTAGTCAGTATGCTGACTAAGACTTGAACCAGATATCTACTGAATTCAAGTGAAAGTGTTACCATCTGAGCCAGCCTTCTTGGTTGCTGTTATTTAACATGTTCTAACTTATAGACCTCAAGCTCAGTCAATATGGTGAACTAGGCTATGGACTGGACAACTGAGGAGGCAAGGTTTCTGATGTCCACCATCTCCAGACTGACTCTGTGGCCCACCTACCTTCCAGTTCAATAGGTTTCTATTCTCTTTATTTAAGGGAACAACTTTTAGTTGCCTCAGGCTCTCAGACTACTTCTGAGGCCACTGTGTGCTCCTGATTATGTTAGCACCATTCAAAGAGCCCTGATCATAATGCCAGAAATAGAACCATTCTCATTCAGAGTGGAGCTGAAGATCTCTATTCCGTGCCTAGCCAAAACTGGGCACTGACGAAGTATTTGGTAACAGCATTCTTCAGGGGGGTACTGAGGGTAAAGCAGCAAGGACATGAAGCAATATGTCAGCTGTTTCACTTATTTTAATTTGTCTTCTGCACATTGCAAATTTATATGGGCAGTGAAGGGTAAAGAATGTTCTTTCAATGATTTCTGTTTTTCAATTGTTATAAAGATAATAATTTTTTTAATAAATATACCTCACTTTCTGGAGCATATACATTATATGTTTTCTTTTGCCCTATATTCCTGACTGAATCATTCCAGCCAAAGGGAGCAAAGGGTGACCTTTTATCTTTGAAGTATGCCTTTCTAGTGGTTCTTGTAAGGGTAGATATATTGGATGGGTTTCGCTGTATGCTGGAACGATGTCCAAGAGAAGTGGATGTGTCATGTAGTCGTTCTTCATTACTGACTCTGGGTTGAGAACTGGGTTCCTTTATTGTGATACTTCGATGTGAAGGTACTGCAGGATTTCGTTGCTCCTCTGTTATCCATTTTTCTACTGGTTTGGTGATCGTACTCAAACTGCGGTTCAGATTATGAATTTCATGACTTGAGTCATTCTTCAACCTAAACAAAAGTGAAGTGAATTAGGAACAGCAGGCTAGATTCTTATCCATTTGGAACAAGTGAAAGCACTTTTGAAATCTGTGATGGACCTGATCCATGATTTACCAGCGTCATATTAACCCATTTACTAATCAAATTTTGGAAACCTGGTAATCTAGTCATGAGGTGCTGCAAAAGATCTTATACTTGAAGACTGGCTGGACCCATCACGGATTTATCTGCATGCCTTTCTATTCCTTTACCTCCAACAAAAGTAAAACTTTGCAAGTGTGAGCAATATTGTTTGGATTTGTCTTTAAGTTACAGGGGCCCAGGTAATTCATTTAGTACGCTGATTAGGCTATGGGCTGGATGTTTGAGGAATTACAGTTCAGTTCTTAGCAGGAACAGATTTTTCTGTTTTGATATAATTAAAAGAAAATGAACCAATCAGCTAATATATTGTAGGTGAGTCACTCAAGACAATGATAAGTCAGTATGCACTATCACAAATCTGACATTAGTAAATAAAGACCATCAGCATGTTTCCATTAATTATTACTGTATTTAATGTCATCATTTCTGTTGCAAATGACAGATACTATTACATGCAGTCTAACCTCTGCCCATGAGATTCCCTTTCTACATTCTGAAGAGCCATTTCTCTGCCAAACAGTGCATTTCCCTTTGGACTTGTCAGCTCATGAACATCTCTTTGCACTTGACTAGGTGAAGAAACTACATGTTGCTTTGGTACATGCATCCCATTGTGAGACTTGGCACTTTCATACTGAGCTAACAACATTTTATGTTTCAATCTGTACAAAAAGTATGAAAAATTATTTGTTAGCAATTGTGGTCTTGGTCCATGCTGTCTCCATGTTCAGGGTTGAAATGTTCAGGTGAGAAATTGGTTTGGTTTTGTAGGCAGGTGACATAGACCCTAGTGGGAGAAGACGAGACAGAACCTGGTCTGGGAACAGTTTCTTGAAAATACAAAGACTAAAGCAAGTGTTCGTAAATTTTTTAAAACTGTGACAATGTTAAGTATCTTGAAATACTGAAATGAGTGGCATTACAGTAATATTTAAAGTAATATGGCTGATCTTTCAAATGAATGACATTTATAATTTTATTGTTTGCTGTTACTGAGGAATGATGAATGGTACAAGATTAAGAAATCAAGTCATTCTGATATTTGTCAAAGCTAATCATGGACACCAACAACAAAGGCAAGCCAGACATCTGCCCTCCACTCCCAGATAAAAAAAAATTAAAAAACCTTAGGTTCTCGTATTTTTAAGTAATTATTCTTATATTCCGAATATTTTACAGTGATCAGTAAAAATACTCTCAAACTGCTTAAATGTAATTTTGCAAGCAAATTTTCTTGCTGCCCCCCACTTGAAAAAAATCTTGGCAGTACCTATGAAGGTAAATATGGAGCAGTTAATGAGTTTCTTGCGATAATTTATGTATTTAGTTAAGGATATTATGAAACCATGTTTTTCTCTTCCCAGTACAAGAGAACATATGATTAATGAGCAGTTAGATTATATCTGCTTACTTGTGTGGTGGAAGAGCTGCTTCATCTTCATTTTCTTCACCATTTTCACAATCACACTTTTCATTAGTCAATTGGTATGACCAATAATGGTCTGCCCGATTCAATGACCGATATAATTCTCTTCAAGAAAAATGAAAACATAATCTAAGTAAACAATATAGTGTTCAAATTCAGTCTGGGGGAGGTTTAAAATAATTATTAATTTTAATTGTTTGATATGGGCGTAAAATGTCTCCACACTGAAATAAGAACAGATCTAGTGGATATAGACCTTAGGTTCTCGCAGCACTGAATATTAAGATTACAGTCCAGTGGTATGTGATGTATAGTTTGGTAGATGGTTATCAGTGTTTCACAGGAACCTGCTGCCTCTGTCTTCATGGAGGCAGATCAAACACTGATAACCATCTACCACCAGGCCACAAAGATTAATATTATTGTATCCAATTTTACTAGTACTGAAGTTCAGTGGTGTATAGGCCATGTATTTGCCTGATGATGGCTTTTAGTAGCTGAAACATGTAGCAGAGCCAATCTTGGCACTGACCTTAACATAGTTGTGTTGTGATGGTTTTAACCTGCTTACTTTTGGCCCTTATTCTCCTCCCTGAATTGTAGAAGACAAAATATAAAATGTTAAAATATCCAATATGTACCTAGATTTTATATTTTCTTGCCATATTTGTTTCCTGAGATCATTCGATAGGAGATGAAACTGTAACCTGTATTCTGTTTTCTTGTGTACCATTTTAACCTGGAAGAAACGAAATCCTTTTGAAGCACTAATTCAAAATCATACACAGTAAACTCTCACTAATCCAGATTATAAAGCAAAATATAGCCCTAAATGAAAATATTATAAAATACATTCAAAATTTGATAATATGTGTAGTGCTAATGAAAAAAAATATCACTAGAGCCTTTATGTAAAAACCATAAAAAGACATGAAACTAAAATCCAGAGTCTCCTTCATCCAGCTAAACCCAATCTTTGATATTTTCTTGTATGGTTTCAGTCTCTCAACACATTCTGAAATTCCTCTTGTGCCTAAACCCCCTGGGTCTTTTGAAGTTTGTACTCAACTGTGAACAGAATTTTTCGTATTTTGATCCAGATTAACTAACCTGATTAGTGAGGGTTTACTGTATATAGATGTGCATTTATATTTAAGAATTGTGCTGTTTTGTCTTTTATTTGGGGATCTATTATGATTGTATGACATTATTGCTTTTATATTTTATTTTACTACAACAGGTTCTATATCCAGTAGGTTATAAGTTGACCTTGTATGGATTAACAGAATGCTGATAAATATGAATATGAATAATGATTTTTGAAGAGCTGATACAGCACAGGCAATACACTGTTGTAAAGTTGGTTTTTATTTGATATATTGGGTTTTTGGACTTCATCCATCGTCCTGGTTTTTATTAGTTATCTTAAAAACCAGGACGATGGATAAAGTCCAAAAACCCAATATATCAGTGTGTTATACACCATCGTCAGAATCCTATAGTAACTACTTGGTTTTTATTTGCTTACTGTGATGAGACTTTTCTCATTGAGCCTACCAATTTGGTAATACAGTGTTCAAAATCACTCAGACCCACAAAAACACTGTAAAATGTTACACCAGTGGTCTTATTATAGTATCAAATCAATTAGCTGGATTCACTGTATAATCCAGATAATGAAGCTACTGATGCCACAATCATTCTTGAGAATGTAACAGTAGCTCAGATGGCCCTATTTTATGGAACCCTAATGTTCATGGCTGTGTCCGCTGGACCCTATTCTGAGCCAAATGAATCTTATTGACATCCATATACCCTAATTCATGATTCAGTTTAATATTATCCTCCCATTTACACACAAGTCTCTGAAATTGTTTCTTTACTTTCAAATTTCTGATAAAAATTGTGTAAGCATTTCTCATCTCTCATTCCTGCTACATACTTGGCCTATCTAATTATCTTTCAGTTGATCACCATATTAGTATCATCACTAATGTTGCAAAGTCAATAGACAGCTGAAGTCTTGAACATAGACATCACTCCTGAGCTGCTGGTATTTCTATCCTTTACTATTATCCACTAAGTAACCCATGAGGAGCAATTTTCTTCACCATATTCTGTAAAGGAAGCTTTGATGTACAATGAGATATTCTTAGTGGTGTTTGGTATCAGACCCTATCTCTCACATAATAACAACTGTTAGAGATGAATAACTGTGACATGGTTATGTTCTTAGTTAACTATATTTTAGTTACTACACAACTGATATATTCTCAAATTGTTTGGGCTGGGCTCTTGGGTTACCTACACATCAATTCCTATACAATTCATTTCATTTTCCCTAATTTGTTAGGTTATGTTTTTGTATTACATGTTTTAATTCCTGTAAAATTAATATTTGTTGGTCACGGTAGCCAAGCGGTCTAAGGCATGTACTGTCTTCGCTCACTTGGAAATCGGGATCGTGGGTTCGAATCCCACTCATGGCATGGACGTTTAGTTTGTGAGTTTTTCTGTGTTTGTATATAGGTAGAGGCCTTGCAACGGGCTGATCACCTGCCCAAGGAGTCCTACCGAATGTGTAGGATCAAGAAAAACCGAAGTGAACGGAGAAGTTCATCACTCAGGGCATGGATGTTTAGTTTGTGTGTGTGCGTTTTTCTGTGTTTGTATACAGGTAGAGGCCTTGCGACGGGCTGATCACCCGCCCAAGGAGTCCTACCGAATGTGTAGGATCAAGAAAAACCGAAGTGAACGGAGAAGTTCATGGAGGTAGGCCTAGACCCACTGGGGCTGTAGTGCCAAGGAAAAAAAAAATTATTTATTCATACTGATGTGTGCTGCCACTTATGTTCAACCGGTTAAATTACACCGACAGTACAGTGGCTCACCAATGCCTCTGAATACTGTATTCTAGGATAGTTCCCAACAATCAGTTATATGGAACAGAAATACTAACTCTGTTCCTATATGATAATATATTTTAATAAACGTGTTGTAGGATTTAATTAATAAATGTGTTGTCCGTAAATCTGACCACGGACATGATTTATTTGTTACTGTTGGGATAAGTCAATTACTGTTTGTGAGACCTACACTGATGGGAGAATAATATTAAAATCGGATGGAGAAAATAGAGAACGAGAATGTGGTCTGGATTTGTAGAGATCGGTGGCGGGTCATATGAAAAGAATGGCGAATCCTCAGGTTCCGTTCAAGTCGGGGAATTTCTTGACAATCTGCATGAGTTAAACGACCCTACCTCATTATGAAGTGTACAACCATAACGCAGTAGGGCTGAATAGTGTAATAATCTTTCGAAGGCTGCTTTCAGGCGGAATTTACATCTACGGCACAGAATATAAACATTATTACTATGCAGAAAGAAGTCAAAATAAATGACAATTTAATATCATACCTGAGTATAAAACCCGGCATAAATATTGCAGCTGAGCTGATAACCGTTACTGTTCAAACCTAATGATAGCACCTAGATCCATCTTGTTTACAAAACACGACCAAGTCACAATATTTACGAGCCCTATGATGAAGGGGAAGAGGGAAACAAAGGATTCGCTGCCATCTTTACGCAGACGGACCGAACTAGATAGTCAGAACCAATCACCATACAACTACTGCAATATATCGAATGGCATTTATGTGACGCAATCACAGTTCACTCACTAGCCTCCATAGCTCCATAGCGTCTGCGCAGAATTGTAGACATTGTAGATAAGGTTGTAGAACATATTAAGTCGGCGACTACAGAAAGTATGAATTCTGCAAAGGTAATGTTAGCGCAAGGCGTATATTAACACTTACTTATATTCTCTGATATATTTACATAAAATGTTTTAGAACGTAGGGTTTTGATTAATGTTCTGAAAAGCAAAATTTCATTTACGAGTATGCCACTTTTGCCCAGGAAGCAGAGTTTTGCATGCACATTCTCTAATGGGCATTGAAATATCACTGCTTGTGTTAACTTTTTTATGTCGTCCTCAGACATTTCTTTATTTGGTATCACATTATGAGAACAACATGTGAATGCAATATAACTATCAGCAAATACTAAATTCTATGGTAGATCAGAAATTTTGAGCCATGGATATTCATTTATTCGTGGAAAAATTGCGTGACTGAGGGTCTTACTATGTGAAATGAGTATCATGAATTCAGTTGGAGTATCATATTTTCTATGAATTTCAGAAAGTTTTGCAACTAGGGCAGCTAGGTGCAAGACACATATCTATGTCACAGGCTCCTATGTCAGCTGAGAAACAGGCAGCCAATTATGCTAAGTTGAAGGCGAAACAGGCAAAATTTCAGGTAAGTGATAGGATTTGTAATTACATAAATTTTAAGCTGAGTTGGAATTTCCTTGTTTAAGGGCTGAATAGACATTTCATTCCTTCTAAAGTGTGACAAAATGTCAGTTGATTATGTCTTACAGTAGAAGCCATTTCCATTTAATGATGGTGAACCCACAGAGTTATTTCAAATTTTTAACTAGAGTATTCAATACATTCTGAGTGTTTTATAGTTGTTGAGAAATGCTATCTTATCAACATTTATAGTGTTAAATTTTCTATAACCTGTATGACATTCAGAGGCCAAGAGAGTTTGGCGAGTGTTGCAACTCCTTTTACAATGTGGAAACTAGAGTGTGCAGTTGTGTAAAGAATAATGATGGTATTTATACACAGTGTGTCCAGGTTCTGTTAGGACTGTGTTCGTTAAAAATAAAAGACATGAATTATTTTCAAAGTTTCACTCTTTATTCAAAATAGTCTCTTTCTGAATCAGTACATAGCTGGATCTGATTGAAAAGTTTTAGAAAGTGTACTCCTTTTGTGGAATCGCATTTGAAACTGTGGTATATTCCCTATGGATGTCCTGGATGGTGTCGTGTCGGTCTCATTTCATCGCCAACTTAACTTTTGGGAACAACCAGAAATCTGCTGGAGCCAAATCTGGTGAACACGGAGGATGATCAAGGACTGTAATCCCTTTTCTGGCCAAAAAATCGCGCACGATCTTCGATTTGTGGGTTGGGGCATTGTCATGGAGGAGCGACCAGGAACCTTGCTCTCGATATTCAGGTCAAATTCAAAGAATTCTCGCCCACAAACGATTGAGGACTCCGAGATAATAATCAGAATTCACTGTTTGATCTTCTGGCAGAAATTCCTTTGGAATCAAAGAAAACTGTTAGCAGTGTCTTTAGTCGACACTTTTGTATGTGCACTTTCTTTGGTTTTGGCTTCTTTGGGCTCAAGCACGCTGGACTGTGCCACTTCGTGAGAGGCTCATTGTTAACACCATATCTCGTCACCAGTAACAATCAGTTTTGTAAATTTTGTATCACTTTGGGCTGACCGTAACATGTCTTTGCAGTGTTCCACTCTGGCATGTTTTTCATCGCCTGCCAGCGTGCAGTAGAAACCATGCACAGACCTGTATACCCAAATCCTCGGTCAAAATTTGATGCACAGTACTTTTTGGTATTCCCAAAGCTCCTTGATGAGTCTTGCAGAAATATCTGTCTGATGCAAGGATTTTGGTCACTTTTTTCACACTTTCTTCAGTGCGACTTGTTATCGGCTTTGATGCATGTGGAATGTCTTCAGTGGCCTCCCTGCCGTCACGAAATACAGCATACCATCGAAAAATGTTCAAGTGACAAACAATCACTGCCATACACACTTTTCATCATGTTGTACTCTTCTCCGGCTGTTTTGCCTAACTTCAAACAAAATATGATGTTGGCACTCTGTTCAATCGCCATTTTCCAACGAGCGTCAGAACAGTACTGTTACATTCAAGGTCAGAACACATGATGCAGCGATGCTTGCCCTTTGAAATTATAGACAACCACAGCTGAAACTTCAAGAATCTTAACGCCACAACTTGCCAACAGACGGCATTGCAGGGCAAAAAAAAAAAAAAAAGAGTCCTAACGGATCCTGAACACACTGTGTAGATACACAATAATGTAAGAATTGTGTGTATAGTAAAACTGAAAATTTTCCACTTCTGTAAGCTGGTCACCTGTTTAAGGAAACCATTTAAAGCCTATTAATTTATGTTTTGTACACATATATTTCTGTCTTAAAATGCAACTTATTATCTAGTCACCCTTCTTCCTCACTACATGTTTTGGCCATACAAGGCCATCATCATGTGTTGACTGTCCTGCCAAAATTGTTGCACTATATGTAAAATTACATATTGTGTGAATGCAATACTTAATAATTAAAATAAATTAATCTCAATTAAAATTAACAAATGCTTTACATTGTGGTTGTTGTCCACTTGTTTAAAAGACATTTGTTCTTGTTCTTTTATTTCAAAGAAACCAACCAACAATAAAATTCCTCCAGTTCAAAGAAACAGTGCAAAACGAGATATCTTCTTAAGGAACTATTACAAATTTTAGGTGCCTGTACAAGCTCTTTTAATTCATGTGATAATTTATTAAAAGTTTTAATGCCAGTGTAGTAAATGCCATTTTGATACAGTGATAGAGAGGAAGTACGAATATATAAATTTTCTCTGTCTGTTGTGTACATTGTGCCTATCATAGTTAGTAATAAAAAATTTATATTCCTTAAAACAAATAACAGGATTGAAAATATATATTGAGATTTCAGTGGTAAGATGTCTGTCTGTAAGACTGCTACATGAAGACCTACTTCCATATCCTGTCATTAAGCAGACAACTCTTTTTTGTAACATAAAATGTGTTTTGCTATTGGTAGATTGACCGAATATAATACCTTAAGATAATATAGTATGAAATAAGGAGTAATAAATCATTACCAGTGAGGAAAGAGACATATAAGGTTTGACTGATCTGATCATATAACAAACTCAGGTTAATTTGTTTAAGACATTGTCAGTATGCAAATTCCAAGATAATGTTGTTATCCATTACCACACCAAGATATTTAAAGTGAGAAACCTCAGTGATTTCATTACTGTTACAAACAAGTCAGGTCTCAGTTAATACAGAATTTTTTGTTGTAAATTGCATACAATGTGTTTTTAAAAAAATAATTGCTAATAAATTTGATTTGAACCAATTATAAACTATTTGGAGATTTGCACTTAGTTTAGTATCTAGAATATCAAGTATTTATGCGTAACTATTAAACCAGTATCGTCAGCAAAAAGAATGGGTGTAGCTGATGCATCAATGGCCAAGAGGAGATCATTGATGTACAGCAAAAATAACAAAGGTCCCAGTACAGAGCCCTGGGGAACTCCATGTTGAATTTCAGACCAATAAAGTAAGTAAGGGTAACCCTGTAACAGGCTATGGAGGCCCATAGGGTTGTGAGATGTTGAGGTTCCCACATATTCTAGACAGTCGGCTAATAGATGGCGGCAAGGTTGTCGGCCCTACACACCGGCCACCCTTTACCCCCAAGAATATTCCTGGTACTCATTTTTGTTAGAGGTTTATTTGACCCCAGGGCCATAGTGTGGCTGGAAGGATTAGGTAAAGTGACAAAATCTACCTCATTGGGATTCGAACCCACGACATTCCGACTTGTAGCATAGTACCTCAACCAACTACGCTACCGCGTGCCCCATTTCAGACCAGTTTGATACTAAATTATAGTGAGTTAAATTATCTTTCAAAAACACGCTGATATCGTTTATCTCTTAAGTAGTGGGAATATAAGTTTTTGGAAATTCCAATAATTCCATATATTTCGAAAGCCTTCTCAATATCACAGAAGATTCCCTTAGGTTTAGCTTTATTATTTAGAGCAGTAAAAATTTTATTTAATAAGGAATAAACAGCATTGCTATCAATTTTTTTTAACCATATTGATTAAGATTTGGGGGCACGCGGTAGCTTCGTTGGTTGGGGCACTATGCTACAAGCCGGATGTTTGTGGGTTCAAGTTCCGATGAGGTCATTGGATTTTTTAAATTGACCCAATCCTTCCAGCCGCACTATGGCCCTGGGGTCAACTCAGCCTCTAACAGAAATGAGTACCAGGAATATTCTTGGGGGTAAAGGGTGGCCAGCATGTAAGGCTGACAACCTTGCCGCCATCTATGAGCTGATTGTCTAGAAATTGTTGGAACCTTAACATTTCACAACCCTATAGGCCTCCATGGCCTGTTACAGGGATACCTTTACTTTACTTACTTTTTATATTGATTAGAATTTAGAATAGCATATTTTTTAAGATGATCATGAGTCTCTTAAACATTACTTTTTCCACAATTTTGGAGAAGGATGTTAACAAAGAAATAGGTCTAATTTGATATTAATAATTTGTTACCTTATTTATAGAGGCGCTTTATTACTAAACATTTAGTCTCTCGGGAAATGTATCAGATTGTATTACTTGCTAGAGTATTTCTCCCTTTGTATTTATTTGTGCAGCATTTAACCTTGAGGCCTGGGTAGTTTGCATGTTATTTGTGCAGTTCATAAGGATATTGATGCAGTGTTATTACCAGTTTTGTTATGTATGCACCATTGGCTGTAGGACCAACAGTGATCTCTGATGTCTTGATGAGTTATTGAAATATACCTTATCTCACAGTTGTGACCCAATTACCATGAAACTTTGATAAGTCTTTGTAGGCATATAGCTATGACACATCTGGAATGGGCTATATTTTATCTAGAGAAACTGATAGAAGGGTTGATTTTTGAAAGTGAATGTGCTTTGTGCAAACAAGGTATAACACATAATTTATGGATGCAGGTTCTGCTTGCATTTTTCTTTCAGGTGAATACTTAGAACAGTATGCCCTAGAAGTATTTAGGACCATCATAACATGTCATTTAAAACGAATGTAAAAAACTAAGGTAACGCTATCCCTGTAACAGGCTGTGGAGGCCCATAGGGTTGTGAGACATTGAGGCTTCCACATTTTCTAGATATTCGGCTCACAGATTGCCGTGAGGTCAGCCTTACCTGTTGACTGCCCTTTTTCCTCAGGAAGATTCCTGATACTCATTTCTGTTAGAGGCCGAGTTGACCGCCTGTGGCTGGAAGGATGAGATCAACTGAAAAATCCAGTGACCTCATTGGGAATCAAACCAATGACCTGGCTTAATTGAATGAAACTTACACACATGAATATACGAGTAATTGCTATGGCATATAGCTAGTGCCATCAAAAAGAGTCAAAAGATGTAAAAGTTTATTTAAACGCTTGAGTAAAATAGACCTTAGAATGTGATTTGAGGTTCTTATAGCAGTGAGTGTGAACATTATTGTATTCCAGGATGCAAGGCCATGTTGTCTGGTAGTTACCAGTGTTTCAAAGGAGCCTGTTGCTTTCAGCTTCATGGGAGAAGAGTACCTCTTTTACCATGAAGATGGAAGTAACAGGTTCTTTCAGCTGTAATGTGAATCAAAGTGAACCAAAATCAGAATGGTTAGGCCAAATTTACCATAGCGTTGTACTCAGTTTCGAAATCAGTCCCATGAAGGGTGCTTACAGACAGAGGGGTAACTGAATAGGTATGTGCTTTGTGAAATATTTTTTGAGATACATATAAAAACTGTGTATTTCTGAAAGTGATTAATGACATAGTTTGTATTTTTTTTTTTTTTTTTGGCAGGTCGATGATGGTCAGCTGGTGTATTTGAAAGGTGGTGTTGTGGATAGGCTGTTGTATCAGTTTACTGTGGCCTTGTGTGTCATAGGACTGGGTCTTAGTGGAAAAGTGTTGTATGAGTTGTCTTACCCCAAGAAAGCTTGAACTCTATACCAGCATATCCACCCTTAGTATGAAATGTAAGTAATGAACACAGTAAACGGTTAACACTGTTGTCACTCAATGAAGAAACAAAATTCTATATTTTACATGCTCATCTGACTGATCAGGAAACATGGAATGGTCTTATATGTATTTCTTTGTTGATATAAAAATAAAAATTGTACATAATATTTAAATATCCTGCTTTAATCATTTACATACTCATTACATGATTCAGGTACAGTTTTCATATATGTAATAGATGATGTTCCTTCAAAGTAGTAGTACTGTACAAATATAATCTGACTCCCCCCCCTGAAAAGGAGATTCCTGTGGTCAGGGCTGGCGCAAGCTTATGTGCTTCCGCAGGTAACTAGAATTCCACTGCCGTCCCTCAGTTAAAACAGATAAATTTTCTTAAAACATCATAGTAATGCCAAATTTCCAGATACTGATGGAAACCATCATTGGTGCTGTAATTTTTAAAACAATAGTATTTAGTGTTGCATAACCTGGTTTGGTTACTGCCAATTAATGATCACTATAGCAACAAAAGAGCCACTGAAATTATTTTCATTTAAGAAAAATATAAAAATGGGAGTTGCAAAATATACCATCCTTGATGGTGAGTGCTTGGTTTACCCTTTCTGTTGCACTGGCCGTTTTATAAATTATGATTCTGAATTAATTTAATAGTATAAAAATCTGGATTAAGTTCTTAATAAAGTGTGCTTCTGGTATATTCCAGCAGAAAGATCCTTAGAGACGGATGTTTCTATAACTGTCGTGTCTATTGTATAGCTTTGAAAAAGTAACTCAGAATTATGGTTACATATCAAGAAATATTGTATTTTATCTTTTAAGAGCATGATTTTAATTCTACAAAATATGCCAAGATAATTTAATATCTTACAGATGGGATTATGTATGGGACAGCATACATGTGATTAAGGAATTACTAGCAGCAAAAGAAAAAGCAGCTACAGTGTGTATCCATCAACACATTGTTCATTCTGATAATAGTTTATGCATTTCCTTGTCACACTATTGTAATGGTGCATGCACACGATTCAGCAAGCTCAGCATTATATCTTTTCAATACAAATATCTCTTGAGTTTATTTACCATTTGGTTAAGAACAGTGTCTTTAATTTTGGTTATATAGCATTCAGTTGTTGGTTAGTGAGTAATGAAAGATGTAGAGGGAAGTAGGCTTGGCCTAATTTGGGGTACTGTCCAAACATTTGTCTGGAGGGACTGAGGAAACCATAGGAAACCTCAGGATAGGTGGTCATGGGAAGAGACTTAAACCCAGGAACTGTCAGATATGAAACAGGAATATTAGTGATTCATCCACAATGTCTGGTACTCCAAGCTATATCTGGTTGCCAGTGCCCATAATCATGGGGGATTTGGAACTCCTATTCCTGTATAATAAAGGTTAATTTTGAACATATGACAAACTGAATAAGAAACTCATCACAGGTTGTAGTGGAAGTCTGTAAATGGGTGACACTTTTATTACTGCTGCTGATTCTAGTACATCTGCAGCTCTGTAATGTGACATGTGTGACATTTAAGTGTCAAATTTCAACAGGATTCATTATGGGCACAAATTGAATAAACATTCAAGGGCACTGAAATGCTGAATATAGTACATGAAGTAATACAATATTGGAAAAAATTGCCTGGGTGTGCTGAAACCCAGATCTTTGTATCCTATAGAAAAGACATTTGCCTTTTCAGACTTGGGTGTTTTATGGCATTTCCAGGAAACAGAGCAGAATGTAGCCTAATAATCTGATAAACACTCATTTAATATGCATTGCACTCTTGGGGTTTGTGGAACTCTTAGGAGCAGTTCTCCACATAATTCTGAATTTGTTTTGGTTTATAGTTTGTGAAGTGAACTGGAATATCACAAGAAACTTCAGTGATTTATATAGGCCATTTAATATAGTGAGGCTAATGTGGGCTGGTCAAGTACTAGTTAGAATTCCAGAGGAATGCACACAGACTCTTGGTGGTGAAATTTCTCTGCTGTTGTTTTCATTGTATTTATATAACTGACTATGGATTAATGTAATAATTACTCAGCTAGTCAAAAAATGTCCAGCCTTTCATGGAACCAAAATGTTAATTACCACGTTCACAAGTTCCTACCACTGGCCCCTAATGAGCCAGATGGATCCATCTCCCATCCTATTTCTTAAAGATCCCTTTTGATATTCTCCCATCTACACCTTGGCCTTCTAAGAAACCTCTTTTACCTTTTTTTTTTTTTTTATAAATTTCTCTTCTCTCCCATGTGTGCTACATGCCATGCCCATCTCATCCTCCTTGATTTGCTTATCCTATTATTATTCAGGAAATGAGACAGGTTGGTTTAGAGGTAACACCCTAAACTTGTATTCAGGAGGTGCTTCTTTGTATCTTGGCCAGGACAATAGTTGCCCTTCCTGTTTAGGGTTTTGTGGCTTTTCTTAGTCCTTCCAGGCAAATTCTGGGACAGTACCTCGATGAGGACACAACCACTTCCCTTCCATGTCATACATCTGTCATCCTACCATGTTGCACTATATAACTTCAATAATAAAAGGATTATTACATAAACTATGTGAGAAAATGTTTGGCAAGGACTACAAATTATGAGACACCTCATTATGCAGTTCTGTCTGACCTCATCCTAGCTCCTCCCTTCTGGGGCCAAATATTCTCTGCACCCTGTTCTCAAACACCCCTAGTCTGGGTTCTTTCTTTAATATGAGAGATTAAGTAATGTCAGTGATTTTATTGTGAAGTGACTATACGTCGCAGCGTGCTCAGACCGGTTGGGATCGGTGGAGGGGGAAGTCAGCTTATGAACGCGCGGTCGCTTAGTCGTCTCCGAACTTCCTGAAAGTGACAAAGGGCTTTTCCGTGAAACTCGTTTTTGTCTTCCGTGCAAGCCGCAATGCAGCGCTCCTTGGAACAAAGGATTGCCATCAAGTTTGTTGTGAAACTTGGCAAGTCTGCAGTGGAAACTTTTCCCATGATAAAGACGGCCTTCGATGATGATTGTTGGAACATCAGGTCTACTGGTGGCACAAGGCCTTTTCAGAAGGCCGTGGAGAGGTCGGCGATGAAGCCCACGCTGGACGGCCATCAACAATCACCACCGACGAAAATGTGACGCGTGTGAGAGAACTTTTGAACTCATACCGTCGTTTGAGTGTTCGTTTAATGGCACAGACATTAAACATTCCAAAAAGCACCGTTCACGAAATTGTGACGAACAATTTGCAGATGCGAAAAGTGTGCGCAAAGCTGGTGCCCGAAGTGTTAATGGACAACCAAAAATTGCGCAGAGTTGAAACGTGCCAAGAACTTTTGGACTTGTGTGAAAGTGACCCTCACTTTTTAGACAATGTCATCACAGGTGACGAGACTTGGGTGTTTGAGTACAACCCCGAAACAAAAAGGCAAAGTGCTGAGTGGCACACCTCGGCATCCCCTCACCCCAAGGAGGCCAGAATGAGCAAGTCAGAGGTTAAGGTCATGCTCATTGTATTCTTTGACATCAGGGGGCTTGCCCACCATGAGTTTATACCACATGGTACAACCATCAACGCCAAATTCTACGTGGAAGTGCTAAAGAGACTCAGACGAAGGGTTCATCACATCCGGCCCGACATCGCGGACGATTGGAAACTTCACCATGAAAATGCGCCAGCCCACACCGCCTTCCTCGTGACCCACTTCCTGACCGATTCTAAGGTGCCAGCGGTTCCCCAGCTGGCCTACAGTCCTGACGTGGCTCCCCCCAGACTTCTTTTTGTTTCCGTGCTTGAAAACTCCCATGAAAGGACATTTTGGGACAGTTGACGAAGTCAAAGAGGCTTGCACCAAGGCTCTAAAGGACATTTCAGAGGAGGCCTACCATGACACCTTCGATGCCTGGAAATCTCGCTGGAAGTGATGTATCGACGCAGAAGGGGCCTATTTTGAAGCCTTTTAATGTGTTCTACCGATCTAATCAATAAATGTTTTTAATCGACTCACTGACATTACTTTTCGGACAAACCCTGTACAGTAGGCCAAGTTATAATTTTGTGAATTTTAATCTTTGTTTTTAGACAGTAGACATTACATGTGACAAAATGCTTTCTATCTTAACAGCTTATTTAAATGGAGAATGCTAAGATGCATGTAAAGCATAGGCATTATTTATGCTCAAATGGTGGCTGTATATCTAGGCATGCTGCTGCCTAGTTCATTTTCTCCTTTGTGCATGATCCTCTTTTTGATGAAATATGTCCAATTTTTTCTTAATGTACTCAAAGTATGAAATGAAGTGTCCAAATCTGTTGCGAAGTTTCTGTACACAGACACATTAGATGTGAGATTTGGAACATGCTCTAGAAGCATGAACCTTGACAGTATGGAAGATCTTAAGGGTGTGCAATTATATTGAAAATCAAAGTGTTATTTTTAGGATACTTAACCTTAGTGTCCAGGAATAGGGATTTTAAATTTCCTCTTGCTACAAGGGTGCTGACCATGTTTTAATCAGGGGGGGATTGATTTGTTAGGGAATAGGGGATTTTAAATTTCTTGCTTTCTATATGTCTAGTGCTGTTATCCCTAAGGTAACTTAGTTTTATAATAAATAATAAAGGCTCAGATAAAATAATCATTATTAAAGAAAAGAATGAAGTTTTGTTTTCTTTTTTGTCATATAGTTTATTATTATTTTCAAGTATGTGTTATTCTTTTTTATCTTTATTTTTAATTGGAGGGTAATATCATTAGCACTGATTAAATTCAATGCTCAGCCAGCTGAATCACACAGTTTGACAATGAATATTCTGCATGCACACAATGACTTCTTTGGCAGAATGATTTATATCTAACTCCTTACATTCTCTCACTGTTAACACACCATGTATTGTAAAAAGAATCCAAGAAAATCTTTGACACGGTGTACAGTCATAGTAATTACATCTATTTAACATCAGATTAAAAAAAGTATACAGTATTAAGGGTGATTTTGAGGTATTTTAGATCATAATGTCATATAATACTTAAAGCTGAGCTGTAATATGATCTCTTTAAGGCACTTTTCATTTTTCTGCTGCACTTATTTCTGATTGCATGATATCACACACCAAACAGCATCACACTGGAATAACTTCATCTAATTTGCGTTTTGCTATATCTTCATATTCTACTGTTTCATCATTTTCAGTTCTGTGCTCATCTTGGATAGTTTCTGTGTCTTTTGTCAGTGCTTTGGATAACTTTATGTCTTCTCTAGATTCTGAAATTGGTGTTATCTCATCATCCGCCATTATGGACTCGTCTGTAGAGGGCAGTCTTTCTGGTTCTGTTAAATCTTCAAAAGGCAGTTCATCTGGCTGAACTGCATTTTTCATTATTTGTTTTGTAAGTTTATTGATTTCTTTCACTGACATTTTTGGAGGTTGAGCAGAATATTTAGTGCTTATCTTTGGGCTTATTTCATCAGACATTTTCTCACCTTCCTGCCATTCTATTTCATTATTCACAGCAGTTGTCTCTTGAGCAGATGTGTGTTGCACTTCATATTCTGCAACTGTGTCCTTACTGTCAGAAGTTCGCATGTCGTTCTCTTGTCTATGTGCATCTGCAGCATTTAATTTGTCTGTCTGATCCTCATTACTTGCATGATTTGATGACAGAGGTGTGTGATATATGTGATCAGAAACTTTAATAAGTTTTTCTTTCTTAAGGTTTCTTACAACAGTTTTCCTTCTAATCTTAGACATGGCAGTCTCCTCATCAGGTACATGTGCTGTAAATTCTCCTGTACTAATTTCTGTATCATTGTATTCTTCATCCACTTCTTTAAGAACCTTCTTACCAGACTTTTTCGTTTTGGAAATTTGTAAATGGGGTTGATTCTCAGTGGTCCCACTTTCTGAATCCTTTAGATTTTCATTTGGATTTGTTAGATCATTATTAAATTCTAAAATAATTTCATTTATATCTTTATTGGTTTTTTTCCCACCTTTTTTTTCAATATTTTCATTTTCTACAGTTTGGTTTTCAGTAGACATGGACATTATTTTAGGTTCTCTAGTTTCCTCTAAATATTCTGTTTCTTGTCGTAACACATCTTTTTGGATTATTTGTTTGGCAAGTCTGATTTTCTGTATGGGTTTTTTTCTCTGTACTGTTATATTGTCAATAACCGTTGAGGATTCTTCATCCGTGCTTTGATCTAACACTTTATATTTCTTTATTTTCTTTATAGCTTTCTTGCTGTTCTCTGATACTATGTCATGATGTTCTTCACTAGTTAAATTCTCAGGAGGCAGAGATGAAATTTTTGCCTCCATTTCAACGGGAACTGCTACAGGATCTGTTTTTTGCTGAATATCTGTTTCCGTGTATTTTTCAAGTACTTGTTTCTTAGTGACTTGTTCACTTTTAGCATGAATGTCACTGTAATTCTCCTCACTGGTTGTAGAGAACTCTGCTTCATGCACTTTTACATATTCATCATGTTTTACTTTCTCATCTGGTGGTAAGTCTGCATACATACTTCCTTCAGCTTTCACTTGTTTTCCATATTCAAGAGCTTTATATTCTCTTATAATTTTCTTGATATTGCTTTTTACAGTTCCTGACTTTGGATATATTTTTGCTTTATTCTGTGCTCTGTTTAATTCCTTTATCAACTCCTCCCTCGACATGCGCATCAACTTTGACAGCTGCACTTCTTCTTCTATGTCTTCAGTAGGTTCTATGTTCAGGTCTATGAGAGGAGATTCCATGTGTTCATCTTCATTATCATGTATTACTGGCCTGACAAAAATATCATCATCCATATCATTTAATAACTGTGAAATTTCATCTCCTAGTTCTAAGGTTTCATCTATTCCACCCACTTCTAAAACATTTTCAGTTTCACTAGTCAAGACTTGGCCTAAATCAGTCTTTAAAATGTCTATATCAAATGGCACTTCTTCTGTATCAGTGGATAATTCATTTTCTATATATTTCAGTTTCACTTCCTTTCTTTTCAGAATAAATATCATGGGTTTTGTTTTAATTCTAATTGGGGGGAAGGTATTATAATTGAAGGCTATGTGAGAGAAACCTTCTACTGAATCTAAAATATCATGAGTCCTTGAATATGGTTTTAAATTTTGAGAGTATTTACTCCTTGCTTCTAAGAGCAAATGTGTGAATACCATAATTTCCTTACTGCCACTTGTTATATTTTCAGCTTTACTATACCTGAAATAGAAAGAAAAGACTGAGATAATATAGCAGTAAACATGATTAAAGTAATAAGTTGCAAAGTTATATTGTAACACTTTGTATATGAATTTTTTTCAGGTTACAGTTCATTATGTAGGAAACCTGACAAATATATGATAAATTATTTCAGCGCTAACCAATTAACTACGTTAAGGAGAGTGGTTCTTGAGAAGCTGACAGTTGCTGCTTAGATAGTGAAGACATTCCATGCCTTTGGGGGATTAGAAGTTTTACTACCACATTCACAAGATCCTGCCACTGGACACTATTCTGAGCTAAATCAATCCAGTCCCACGCTTTCACCATTTCCCTAGAAACCAGCTTAACACTTTGCAGACCAGTGGCATATTTTTATGCCCAGCGCTTTTAAACGTGGCGGACCGGTGGCACATTATTATGATTTTAGGACATGTTATGTTGATACACACTATACCTTGCATTGATGTCAGGCAGACACATGACTGGTGCGTGATAGACCTCTTGAATGTTTGCTTCGTAGTCAGTAACATGACCCCGCTGTTTATGACCCAACTGTTTTCCTTTCCCACTCCAAAAGAAAATGCCTTTGTTCATCTTCCAGCTGCATGCACCAGGCAGGAAGTTACTAGTGCAAAATGGATCAAGGTCGGAAGAGGTTGAGGTCCAAGCATTTTCTCGGAGAACAAGAAATATCTGACCTGTTCTCCAATGAGCTATCTGACGTTCCTTGTGAGTCTGCTAGTGATAGCAACTCACAATCTGATAGTGAGTGTGGCAGGGGCGAACAAAAAATTGTGGCCACAGGCAGTGAAAGTGACAGTAGCTCCGACGAAAGTGCAGGTAGCCACATTGTGGGGACAGCCACATGGGGAAAAGTAGACTAATGCCTGCTTTGGGACAGTTTACTGGAAATCCAGGGGCGAAGCAAATTCCATTGGACCCAAATCCACAATTCACAATTCGAGCATGGTTGATGTTCAGAGGAAACATGGACAGGTAAAGAAGTCTGTTTGTATTTCTGAGTATAATATGTTCATGAAGGGAGTTGATAGAGCCGATCCATACTTGGCCTATTATTCTCTTCCTCGGAAAACAGTAAAGTGGACAAAGAAAGTTGCCTTGTGGCTTATAAATTGTGCCATTTTCAATTCATTTTTGGTTTTCAAAAATCTAAATCCTTGTTCAAATTTGAAATACAAGGCATTTCTGCTCAACGTGGCAAAAGCCTGGGCTACAGACCAGACGGTGGCAGACAGACTTAGTGCGACCAGGTCCATCAACTCCCACCCCATGCAGGCCTCGTGGACCCCCCTGGGCGACTCTTGGGTGATATGCGGAAACATGCCCTTGTGAAAATTATGAAGAGTGAACATGCCAAGGGGAAGCAGTCTTCTAGGCGATGCTGTGTTTGCGCAGTACACAACAAAAGGAGTATGACTGTCTACATGTGCAAGTTCTGTGTAATGCCACTTCACAAAGAGGAATGTTTCCAGAAATATCACATTCTCAAGCACTTCTAGGAGCATTGGTAAGTGTTCTCCAAACATTTTAGTTCATAAAATTAATTAGGAGATCTTATATTAATTTTTAAAGTGAACAGTGCACAAGTTAGGGTAGTAGGTTTAAAAATGTCGGTCCCCAGGGTGATTTAAATATTTAAATCGCTGGTCCGCAAAGTGTTAACATTATCCTCCGTTCTGTGCCTAGCTCTCAAAAATGGTCTCTTCCATGCAGGATTTTGCAGTTTTCATCTCTACCATACATGCTACATATGCTGCCGATCACATCCTTGACTTGATCACCCTGATAATGTATGGTGAATATGAATTTTGAAGCTGCTCCTCATTATGCAGTTTTCTCCAGTTTCTTGTGTTACTTTCTGTCAGGTCCAAATATTCTTCTGGTTCACTAAGATGCTGCAAAGGCAGACTCACAGCTTGACTCAGCCTGACTTATGCAGCATGACGGGTGTACAGGAATTCTATGCAAAACAAATGGGTCTGCATTTGCAGCATTTTGTTGAGTCAAAGGTGATTTGACTTGGATACAATTTACTTAGAATGCCTGCAGCTTTAGGCTGAGAAACCATGTTTCACAAGGATCCACTTAGCATGGCAAGCTCTGTCAAAATCAGTTCTGTTAAATTAAAACTCTCAGTTATAGATACTTTCAAATGTGGGACCAAATGATGTTACATAACTCCATTTCAAAGCATCCAGTACCTCCAAGTGGGATTGTCCTGTGTAAACCTTGAAACTCCTGTCTGTGCTGCCAGCACATCAATATGTACAAATACAAATGATTCATCCTTTGCCAGGCGATGAAGTCGTGATATGGCAACTCCACCTGGGTAGTTTGCTCCTGCGATACATAGTAGGAACACAGAGAACACTGCATTTAGAACTAGATGGCAGCACACACCAAATGCCAGGAAGCTGTGGAAAGATGACTTGCCACGATTCTCAAAACTGTAAAAGAATACACGGATATATTCTCAAAACTGTAAAAGCATAATGCATGGAAATAATGAAATATGAAATGGAACATAATATAAATAATCTAACTTCTTATATACCACTTACATTCTGTGGCAAGCGCTTGCAGCTGTCAAGTTTAGTAATGGAAACACATAGATGATGAAGCGTAGTTCCTTATGTGGTAGAAATGAGAAGAGGAAGACAAAGGCAATTGCTGGCAGCAATATCTTTCTCACACGAGGTTCATAGTATATTCCTAAGGGAACAAGGAACACAGAGCATCCCATTCCTCGAGGAATTGCAGAGTAGAAATACCAGAGAAATGGTGAAGTCTGATAATATAGTTAATGGCAATACATAAAAGACAGTCTACGAAGTATATTTCTGAAACTGAAACTGACATATAATGTGGATATATGGACTTAGAAAGAAAAACTAAAGCAAAATCCAAGCAATAAATATGGAATTTCTGAGAACTAATGAGGGAAAGGCAAGAAGGGATAGAATTAGAAATAATGGTTTTAGAGAAGCTGAAAGAGTTAGAAGAATATGACAATAATGGTTTGGAAACATAGAAAGAATGGATAGAACAAGGACACTGAGAAGGGCATCAGAATTAGAATATAAAAGAGAGAGACCATTGGGATGATTGTTTCATTAGGTACTGGAAGGCATCAAGCAGAGGGGAAACAGCTGGTAAGCGAAAAAGAAAGAGACCAGAGACTTTTCATCTATCAGCCCATATAAAGTGGAAATTATGCTCCTGGCAGTATTTTTCTTTTATTTCAAATCAATACAGTTATAAAGGATACACCCCACTCATGGCTGCGGTTCAAAACAGTGTTGAAAAAGAGAACTTCTCCTTCAGGCCAAAGTAATCTGTTCCAGAATATTGAATCTACAACAACAGTGAGGCTTAGGAATACTAAGCCAGCAGGTATGGCAAGTTTCAACATCCTGCACACATACAAAAACAACAGAAATAACAAAAGTTCCTATTAAAAGAGGACATTATTGCAACATAATAACAGCAAAAGACATGAATACTGTGGAAATTATCACATGCAATTTTAGTCAGAAAAGTAACTTTCTCATAAATACAAATTTATATACAAAAGAATGAAATTATTTATACAACATTCTGGACAGAAAGAGCTGTGTGAAGCATTAAAGTCCTTTTACTATACATGCTTTCCAATATTTTATGTGTTTTTCTCCATCAAAGTGCATAATTACATAAAACTGCAGTTAACTAACATTTTATTTTCAGAAACAGTATGAAATAAAAGCTGAGCATGTATATTTTTCATTCGCAGCAGTGCTTCTGAGTGATAAGATTATTACTAAGAATTCAAATTCTGACCTACCACCATCTGATTACCTACTTCAGAGGATGAATTCGCTTGTTGACCAGTTCAATTAGCAATAAAATGCCCAAGAACATAGCAAGCTCTGCTCGAAATATGATAATAGCAGCAGCAGAAAAGTAGATGAATTTTGCATGTTGCTGTTTGATCCAACTCTGTAATGCAAGCAGTACTGTAAAGAAAAATGTTTTGTTAACTTGATATTAAATATTACACTCACATTAACATACACCATCCACCAATATATTATTATGCTTCAGAATAGTATAAGATAAATACAAAAATTAAATTAAATTTAAGTATTTTACAATGTTAACTTAGCATTTTTAGATTTAGCTATGTCATCATGTGTATGATCACATCCAGAATTACTCTAATTTAAATAACATAACTTTCTAAGGTGCTGTTTTATATTTGAGGTTCTCACTGTGGTGTTATGAGGAATACTGTCCTCTGGGATGTGACGCTGTTTAATCTGGTAAAGTTCACTGATGTTTTAAGGGAATGCACTGATTCCATCTTCATGGATTATGAAGACAAGCAAGAAATCAGCAAGACAGGCAGCAAGCACATCTCCCAGAAAATAGTACTTTGTTATATTATGATTCAGTATGCTATAGTGTCTCACCTAATGGAAGTGCTAATATGTTTGGCAATGGTCGACTGAGGTAGTACATGAAATGATATTGAGTTACAGTTATTGCAACAAACCAATTTGTCATTTGTTGCCCAAATACCAACTGGATGGTCTGACGGAACATCCGGAAAGCACCAATAACGCACAACCCAAGAACAGCTCGTACTGTAACAAATTTTGAAAAGCACAGACATTAAAACTGACTACAAATTAGATAAATTAGTTCACTGTTTACAACGGACACAAAATTAAAATAGTATATTACTGTATTCATTCATTCATTTATTCAGCATTCCATAAATCCTTACAGGGTTAAACACCAATGGATATAGAAATAGTCAACAGGAGTAAACATGATCACATACTGCATCATAATTTTGTAATGTCATTCAAGTTAGCCATATAAAAATATTAACAATACACAACATGAACAAAAACTGTCATCTATAACAATAAAGCACTATCAACTACCACCCATAACAAATCTGAAACTTTGTTGTCACAGTTGAAATATTCGTCCAATTAATAAAACGAATTTAAAAATAGGAATCTTTTAACAGCAGACCTAAATTTTTTAATCTCATGAGCTTGGTCTTTTATATTAGGAGGAAGTTTATTAAAAATTTTCATTCCAAAATAATATGTTCCATTTTGAAAGATAGTTGAAGGATAATGGAGGTTATTACTATGTCTGTATTGATTGTATGAATCTCAGAATTAGATGAAAAATAGATCTTTGTTTTTGACATCAAATAAAAAAATGGAAAAAATGTAATGTGAGTAAAGGGGCAGAATCTTTAGTCTCTTAAACAGCTCCCTACAAGAATCTCTACTTCTGGAATTGGTGATGACTCTTATTACCCTCTTCTGTAGTCTATGTGAACATGTATCTTGCACCCCTCTGCAGAAGCTTATATATATATATATATCACAACAAAAATATAGTATTTCTTTCCCTTTTGTTATTTTACCACTTTCTTTTGACTCTTTCTTAACTGGTATTTCTGGTTCCTTCTTTACCATTATACCTAGGCTGTGAGATTTGAGGTTCTCACAGCAATGAGTATGAAGATTACTGTCTTCTGGGATGTGACACCATATAGTCTGGTAGAGATTTATTTACCAACATTTCAGAGAAACCTGTTGTCTCCATCTTCAGGGCAGAAAAAGTTTTCTACCCTGAAGATGGAGGCTTCAAGGTTCTTCTGAAATATAATCTGGTAGATACCATCATTTCAGAGAAATCTGCTAGATTGATCATTAGGGTAGAAGAGCTCTTCTACCCTTCAAATGAAGGCTCCATGTTCCTCTGAATGTTGTTACATATACATCAGAAGGCATGGTGTCACACTTCAGAAGACTGAGATCTACTTCCACTGGTTTACTTTTGTTTAAGAAGACCTAGATCCAATCAGTATCAATCTGTAATTGAATTAGGATTTTACGTGTGCTTATTAGCTTAACAAATCCTGTTTCAAGTGAAGACGTAAGGTCAGTAATAGCATTTTTGATAATGTAGTTATTTTTGGTTTTAAAGTTTTTGTTTCTATTATGACATGCTAGGTTTTCATGTGGGTGATTATGAAAATTACAATCCTGTGGGATACTACAATATGTAGTCTTGTCAAGTGGGTACAAACATTCTGTATCTGGAGGCACCTGCGGCTTCCAACTTCAGGATATCTTTAAAAACTATGTCCTCAGGAAAATATTTTAAATCTAAGGAGGTAAAAGTGATCAAATATGTAAGATATTAAATAATAAGGAAAATAGGTCTCCTAGGAGTGTTAGGAGGACATAGGCTTGGAGACTACAAGGGATTGGGCACATAGGTAGGTAGACACCAACTTCATACAGAATTTTAGGGGGAAACATCTTGAAAATAGCCATTTAAATGAATACAGACCTAAGATGATGATAAGACTGATTTTGGGGTAGTGGGTTGTGAGCACAAGATATTGGTGTGATTGGCTTGGGCTTTGGTATTTGTGATGAATCTCTGGGTTCTGCTACAAGAATGTTTCATGTTTTTGCAGGCACAAATAACCATTCCAATTGAAGTGACTTTAAAATAGATTAATCACCATGACTCAGTTACATATAATAATAATAATGCAATTGTATTTAGTATAGGACAATTTATTATGGTACATTTCTCTTACCTACAAACTGGGCATAAAACTTGCTGAAGCCCAACACATTGATAACTGCTACAATTGGTGATGCAAGAAGGGATATTACGAGTGGTCCCAGAAACGTTCGTGGCACAACTCCTGGAAACTCATGATGATCATACTACAAAATGAAAAATTATTAATAGTTTCTGTTAATTGTATTTTGGATCATAAGTTATAAGACTTATTGGTTAGCAACAAGACGGGGAGCTATCTAAAAGGGGTGGGGGGAATTTGATGTGGGAGACTTGATTCTAATCCATCACATCAAAATATATCGCAAGCTTGCCTCGTTAATATTATCTCGATGATACAGTATGTCATGCGTAGCTTGCAAATTAAAACTTTCTTCGACTTTCGTGAACGGACAATACAGAAGATGTACTGCGGCCACAAGCAGCATCAATTGATCCATCTGTAACGAAGACGTGTTTAGCAACTAAGCACAATTCTACATATAGAAACTGATCGGCTATTTGCGAATTTATTAAAAAGATCAGACTTCGGTTTATGTCGCGAGGTTATAACCGCCAAAATTAACAAAACTTACTCCCATTTTCAGGAGAAGCCCCCGTATTCAACCGTAATATAATAATTTAATGCATTATAGTAAAAGATGCAACTAACACCATGCCTAAACACTACAACACTATAGTTGTGGATCTTTCGTGCTAGCAGACGACGGGACATGCGAATCATCGCAGTCCTTATCTCATTGGCTATTGTTTGCAAAGATAGCAGTAAGAAAGCAACACGGGTGCATATCGTACTGGTACGGGCTCGCTGGTGCCAGACAACCGTGGTTTGGCTTTGGTTACATATTTTACCACTAGGGAGCATACTGTAATGCAGACTACTTCACAGGACATCTGAGGTTTTCACGACCCTCATGACGGTTATTATTAATATTAACGTATACTGTGAAGTTATGCCGTATAATTTGTAGAACAAGCAACGTCCGAGAGGAGTCTATTGCCTTCATCTGCAGGGCAGTAAATGGAGGCAACAGGTTCTTCAGAAAAATCAATGTACTTTTACCAGGCTACATGGCGTCAGTGCCTGATCAGTGGAAGAAGTCTATTATTGTACCAGTTCACAAGAAGGGTGATAAAACTGGCTGTAATAATTATCATGGGAAATCACTGTTATCAACTTCATACAAGATTACAAACTCATATCCAGTATCCTTCTCTCAAGGTTAAGTCCATATATAGATGAAATTATTGCAGTTCATCAGTGTGGGTTTCGAAGTAACAGACCAACTACTGATCAGGCCTTTTGCATTCGTCAATATACTGGAGAAACAATGGAAGTAAAATAAGACAGTACATAAGCACGAGAACCCATATTTGATTACTCTAAATACAGTTTCATGCCATGTATTATTGAATAACAGTTTTGTTCTGTGTTTGTTTCACTAAAATAAACATTGTACTCTTGATTTAAAGAGATCTGCCTCCATCATCATGGTTTCCCTGCCTATCTACCAGACTATACGGCGTCACATACCAGGTGACGGACATCTTCACATTTCTTACATTCTTTTTGCTTGTCAAAATGTAATTTTTGTTATAATAATTATAACTATGTAAATTGATAGATTTATACATGCGTGTTTTGCCGGTGAAGAAATTTTGAACGTTTTCAACAACCGCTACCGGAAAAACGACATAGATAAGAATTGAAACAACGGAAAGTATATTCAAGTTTCGTTATGCTGGCAAACGGATTGCGTATTTCTTGCAAACGGGAAACAAATTTCTCAATAATGTGTGTTCAATAACAGCCCCTCCAGGGATCAAGTAAGCTTTAAATGGAGGCACAGTACTCTTGGCGGAAATATTAAAGTTCTACTTTGTGTTCTGTACGTTCATCTTGTAGCCGACTCTTCCTGGGGAAGAAAGTATTGAGGAGCAATGTTCGGAATACATTCTCGAAGAGGAGCACTTATAGTGTTTGAAGGCTGTGATAGGGCAGGCAAATCAACTCAGTGCAAGAAACTTGTGGAGGCTCTCCACCAGAAAAATATCGAAGCCGAATACATGAGCTTTCCAGGTAATATAGTATTTTGGTTAGGCAGGAGGAGTCTCAAAATACGCATAGAAGTTGCAATAAGATAAGAAGTTCGTGTTTGAAAACTATCAGTATAATAGGTGGGTGACCACTATAATTGTTGTGTTTGTGGTCTACAGTTACTGGAAGGAAGAGGTAGTTCTAACCCCAACACCCTTTCTAACCTCTCACTGAATCTGGGTTTCATTTAGTTAATTGAGAAAACACACAAAATTAAGATAATGCAACTGGACAGCATGTTGTAAAAGTATATGTGAATGATCTGAGAAAATGAAGCAACTATTAATCTGTTATGTGAAGTCTGGGAAATGGTGCACAACATCACTGATACACATGTATTAATGACACAGTGTGTTTCCAAAAAGAGCAATCAGGTGACATTAATTCAGACATGCATTGACTACTTTTTGCCAGGATTTGGTTGTGTGCTGGTATACTCCATCTCTGGGAACAAGGGTATGTCATGATCAGCTATTAATGTAGAATATGTTATGATTAGAAAGGCACTAGATTTTATTTTCAACAAACTTCTGGTATTGATGGGTCAGTGGGAAATTCCAGTGTACTTATACAAGACTTTTCTATCATCAGGTTGCCTATGGAAGGTATGTACACTGGTTTTTAGGGTAGGTGGACTTAATCCATTTTTTAGATAGGATATGGGATGGTGATGAAGATGATGTATGAACCATTATGACAAACCCTAACAGCAGTGATTCTCAACCTTCACATCATGCATCTCACCTGTCATTTTGTTAAAATTGATAGTCCTACCATAAACAAAACTTCTCTTTTCCCCAGAAATGTATCTATGGAATTATATACTTTTTAGTATTGTATTCATCATTAAAGGGCGTATGTTAAGTGAATAAACATTGTACCAATCTTTTATAGTATTTTTAATTACTACAGCTGACCTGGGGTGGTCCTCCAGCTTGGGAGTTGGGCGAGGGGCTAACAACTCCTCGCCGTCAAAAATAATTATGTTACGAAAATGAACACAAAGCATTGGGCCTGGACGGATTCCTCGGATAAAGAACCTAAGCCAAAGAAAATGAATATGAGATTTGGCACTTGGAATGTTTGAAATTTGTATAGGGCAGGTTCGCTCAGGGAAGTGGCAGAAGAAATCCTAAAATATAAGGTAGATTTAGCGGGAGTACAGGAGGTCAGATGGGACAGAGGTGGCATCGCACCAGCAGGAGACTCTACAGTTTTCTGTGGAAAGGGGAATGAAAATTATGAATTAGGTACAGGTTTTTTCATACACAAGAGAATCATATCAGCAGTTAAGAGGGTAGAGTTCGTTAGTTATAGGATATCATATATAAAACTAAAAGGTCGCTGGTGTGATATCATTGTTATGAATGTTCACGCCCCAACAGAAGATAAAATTGATGACATAAAGGATAGATTCTATGAAGAACTAGAACATGTGTTTGATAAATTCCCAGAGTACCTTATGAAAATTTTGTTAGGAGATTTCAGTGCCAAAGTAGGGAGGGAAGACATTTTCAAACCAACAATTTGGAATGAGAGTTTCCATGAAATTAGTAATGATAATGGAGTTAGAGTTGTAAACTTTGCCACATCAAAAAATCTTACTGTCAAAAGTACAGTGATCCCACATCGTAACATCAATACATTTACTTGGAAATCTCCTGATGGGAAGATACACAATCAAATAGACCATCTTTTGATAGATAGGAGATGGCACTCAAGTATACTTGATGTCCGATCATTCAGGACAGTAAACTGTGATACTGACCACTAGCTAGTGGTGGCAAAGGTTAGGGAAAGACAGGCAGTGAGCAAACAAACAACACACAGAGTTCAAATGGAGAGGTTCAATCTCAAGAAATTAAATGAGGTAGAGGGTAAAGAGCAGTATCGTGTTGAAATCTCAAATAGGTTCGCGGCGTTAGAAAACTTGGAC